CTGAGACACTCATGACATCCAAGCTTCGGCTACTATTGCTCTTGTCAGCTGCCTATCACTCCAAAATCCAACTGCGCATGTTTATTTTACAAGCCAATTACAAAAGCCAACTGCCCAATCTCACTTCACAAGCCAATGACAACTGCCAACTGCCCAATCTCACTTCACAAGCCAAATGCACTGTCCCAAAACACAAGCCAAATTTTCGAGTGTTACTTCACTATCCTAAAACGCAAACTAACTTCTCGGGCGTTTCTTCGGCATCGTAAAGCGCACGTATTTTTTTCAGGCGTTACATTGCAAGCCGACTTGTCCTTTTCTACCTTCTCTTCTCGATTCTGAGTTCTTTCTTCTTTTTCCGGCGGAGCTGGGGAGACGCTCTCCGCGCCGAGATAGGTCCGCAAGTGCTTTGTGCAAGTGCTGTGTGCAAGTTGCTCTGCGCAAGTTGCTCTGCGCAAGTTGCTCTGAGCAAGTGCTGCCGGAGCTGTGGGAATGTACTTCGCGTACTATTTTTTTGTACTTAAAAGTTGTGATTTTCCAGCCGGAGCTGCGGGAGTGTGCTCCGCGTACTACGTTTGTACTTAAAAGTTGCGATTTTCCAGCCGGAGCTGCGGGAATGTGCTCCGCGTACTATGTTTGTACTTAAAAGTTGCGATTTTCCAGCCGGAGCTGCGGGAGCACGCTCCGCATACTACGTCTGTACTTAAAAGTTGCGATTTGCCAGCCGGAGCTGCAGGAGCACGCTCCGCGTACTACGTCTGTACTTAAAAGTTGCGATTTGCCAGCCGGAGCTGCAGGAGCACGCTCCGCGTACTACGTTTGTACTTAAAAGCTGCGATTTTCAAGCCGGAGCTGCCGCGGACCAGGGGGGAATCGAACCCGAGACCGCGGGATTGCGAAAGCAGGCGCGCAAACCACGAGACAACTTCCAAAGGCCGTTTCGCGAGCAAGAAAATCGCACGGTCTTCTCGATTCTGAGTTCTTTCTTCTTTTTCCGGCGGAGCTGGGGAGACGCTCTCCGCGCCGAGATAGGTCCGCAAGTGCTTTGTGCAAGTGCTCTGTGCAAGTTGCTCTGCGCAAGTTGCTCTACGCAAGTTGCTCTGAGCAAGTGCTGCCGGAGCTGTGGGAATGTACTTCGCGTACTATTTTTTTATACTTAAGAGTTGTGATTTTCCAGCCGGAGCTGCGGGAGTGTGCTCCGCGTACTACGTTTGTACTTAAAAGTTGCGATTTTCCAGCCGGAGCTGCGGGACTGTGCTCCGCGTACTATGTTTGTACTTAAAAGTTGCGATTTTCCAGCCGGAGCTGCGGGAGCACGCTCCGCATACTACGTCTGTACTTAAAAAGTGCGATTTTCCAGCCGGAGCTGCAGCAGCCTCCGCGTACTACGTCTGTACTTAAAAGTTGCGATTTGCCAGCCGGAGCTGCAGGAGCACGCTCCGCGTACTACGTTTGTACTTAAAAGCTGCGATTTTCAAGCCGGAGCTGCCGCGGACCAGGGGGGAATCGAACCCGGGACCGCGGGATTGCGAAAGCAGGCGCGCACACCACGAGACAACTTCCAAAAGCCGTTTCGCGAGCAAGAAAATCGCACGGCGCCACAGCGAGAGCGCTTCGACACGCACGATCTCCGCAGAGGGTTCATCGGGCTCAAGACAAATTCGCACGGCGCCACAGCGAGAGCGCTTCGACACGCAGAATCTCCGCAGAGGGTTCGCCAAGGTCAGACAAATTCGCACGGCGCCACAGCGAGAGCGCTTCGACACGCACGATCTCCGCAGAGGGTTCGCCAAGGTCAAGACAAATTCGCACGGCGCCACAGCGAGAGCGCTTCGACACGCACGATCTCCGCAGAGGGTTCGCCGGGTCAAGACAAATTCGCACGGCGCCACAGCGAGAGCGCTTCGACACGCAGGATCTCCGCAGAGGGTTCGCCAAGGTCAAGACAAATTCGCACGGCGCCACAGCGAGAGCGCTTCGACACGCAGGATCTCCGCAGAGGGTTCGCCAAGGTCAAGACAAATTCGCACGGCGCCACAGCGAGAGCGCTTCGACACGCACGATCTCCGCAGAGGGTTCGCCGCGCTCAAGACAAATTCGCACGGCGCCACAGCGAGAGCGCTTCGACACGCACGATCTCCGCAGAGGGTTCGCCGGGTCAAGACAAATTCGCACGGCGCCACAGCGAGAGCGCTTCGACACGCACGATCTCCGCAGAGGGGTGCGTTTCGTAAGCTCCCGTCGGGCCTACCCCCGCCATAAAAAGAAGAAGAATTAAGAGTCGAGATGTGAAGGTAGAACAGAAAAGTTAGCTTGTGTTTTTAGGATAGTGAAGTAACACCCGACAAATTAGCTTGTGCTTTTAGTAGAATGAGATAACAGCCGAAAAGTTGACATGAGAAGTTGGAAGCTTGTGCAGTAGATGAGATAACAGCCAAAAGTTGACATGAGAAGTTGGCAGGTGAAGTAACTCTCAAAAAGTTGACATGAGAAGTAGGCAGGTGAAGTAACTCTCGACAAGTTGGCATGAGAAGTTGGCAGGTGAAGTAACTCTCGACAAGTTGGACATGAGAAGTTGGCAGGTGAAGAAGTTGGTTGGCAGGTGAAGTAACTCTCGACAAGTTGGCATGAGAAGTTGGCAGGTGAAGTAACTCTCGACAAGTTGGCATGAGAAGTTGGCAGGTGAAGTAACTCTCGACAAGTTGGCATGAGAAGTTGGCAGGTGAAGTAACTCTCGACAAGTTGGCATGAGAAGTTGGCAGGTGAAGTTGGCAGCCGCTTTTAGAAGAAGAACCCTTCGCAATGCTTCCGGGAAAAATAGAAAATGCAAATTAGTTCTGGAGAAGACCCCAGTCTCGCCACAACAAGAACCTGGATCTTACCATCATCCGCTTTCTCAGAGTCCCCGCAAACCCGAGGACCTGGCAAATCGTATCCGCGGTTTCCGGGAGAACTTGGTCCATGCACCCGTCGAGGCCTCAGCAGGCTGCTCCCTTTGTCGCAAGACTGAAAAGAAGGACGCGTAGATGTTTTGCCGGTTTTGTTACGTGACAAAACTCACAGCTTTTGCTCTGACAAATTGACATGGGACCTTTGAATCTGAATCTCGTTAAGGGCACCCGTGTTCGTGCTCGATTTGAGGACCTGGCGGGACAAAAGAAGCTCCTGCCTCTTCGAACGCGTAGGCAAAGGGAACCAATTCGGTGCATCATTTCGTAGTGGCAAACCCACAAGGAAACAAAAATGGTTGGGGGCTTGGGTGGTCGAATAGCATCAGTCTGACAAGCACTACTTGATCACCATAACACAGACAGCGGCAACCTCAAACCCAATTACCCACAATCATGTCCCGAGCGATGAATGCAAATGAGCGGCGGATATCCTGTGTTCCATCTACGCGGCTCCTAGCATGAGACAGGGCGCTAGTGGACGGACATGTTTTGCCTCCGTGAAAGCGGGGGAACATGTTTGCCCATGGCAGGCAGGCGCGAGCTTAGCTCTGAAGGCAAGAACACGTATTTTTCGAGCCGCAAAAGGAGCTATCAGGCGCGCTACTTCCCAAACCACGCCATCTCTTGGCTGAAAAATCGGGTTTGGAGTCCCGATGGCCCATTTCCACAAGCCATGTCCTCAATGCTGGCTGCAGGGCCCCGTGGTGAGGAAGGTATGGCCTGGCAATTTGAGAGACGAACTCACCAAAATCCTAGGACTCCTGTCCGCTAGAATAAAATCTGCACGCATCGCGTTCAGACGGTTGCAGTGCTCGGTAACCGATGTTCATGCAAATACTTGTAAATATAAATGATCATGCTCAGTAGCCACTTTGCAGTGCCGCCAAAGAAAGCCATAGACAAGACTATGTAGCTCGTGTTGAGTTTTGATTGGAGGCCACGGGTACTGTAATACCTACCCCTGCTAATGTGCCCCTACCACATACTCCCTTGCCAGCCTATGAGGTATGGGTTGGCCATGTCTCTAGGGGTACCTTCCCCATTCTTTCCAGGCATCCTTCTCTCTAAAAACCCACCCCGAACCCTGGGGAAACAGCTGGTTTTTGAAAAGAATGATGGTTGAAAAGAATGGAAAAGGAATCAATCCCTAGAATGTCAGAGTACCTTCACACTTTCGTGCGTTTGAGCCCTGTGGGTGATTCAATTGGCCATTCAGAAATCCCTCTCGGCCTATCTGGAGGTGGTGGCAGCAAGTCATAGCGGCTGCCGCGCTCCTGCGCCGCAAGCCATTCGCACCACACTGGGTGAAACCAGGCTGCTGGAAAACCCAACGGCACAAGGCCGGCAAATTCCCTATGGTGCCATCATTTGTTAGGGGTCTATGTCTAGAGCCCTGAATAAGTCCCCTGCAAAACCAGCATTCATCGTCTCAAAGGGAAAGGTGATGATTAGGTGTTCACTGGCGACATTTTTTTTCGCCCAAACTGCATTGGGCTACAGGACAGGGAGGGCAACTCCCTCAGCCCATATTTTTTTTAGTGGGACCGACACCGCTCATTGACTTCGTTAGTTTCGGGACCTCACTTGACCCCAACCACACTTTGATGTTATATATAACTTGGGTGCTGTGGATCCCCCAGCAAAAAGTTTGACTTTTTGCTGGTCAAAAAGGAAGCATGAAGGGAATCCAACAAGTTAAAGTTTAAAGATCCAACCCAACAGCGGTAGAGATAATATCGGCGTGTTGCTTCGGTGGGTCCCCAACGGGTTTCCTGCACAACGCAAGGTCAACTTTGAATAACCTGGAGAACGCTAATTCTCGAGGAATCCACCCAAACTGCTTGAATGTCCCACTCAAAGCTGCTCGCCACCCTTCATGAATATGAGGATCCAAGCCCTCTCCCCCAACCCCAGCTCAATGTTTCCCTAAATTCAGGCCTCAACAACGCCTGTTTAAGGAAACATGTTGGGAAAACATCGTAACATTGGGATATTGTAGGATATTGTAGGCTTGTAGAAATTCTACAAAAACCCTATAACAATTCATTTTTAGGAACAACAGAAAGACGAGGGCGCTTCAGGGACGTGGGTGTGGGCTCCCCAGTCCTCGCGCTTTGCAAAGCCATCCCGATGCGCCGAGGGCGCAGAAGGCAGGCGCGCCGGCACTGCTGGGGCGATGGGGTTCAGAAACTGCGCGCCAGGGCGCAACCTGCGGAACCGCAGCCGATCCATCGGTTTCATTGGCAGGGGAGTTGGAGGGGGAGGGCCGGGTGCGGCATCCAATGAGACTGTTGGTGGGTCCAAATCAACAGTTGATCAAGCGATTAAACGAAAAACCCATTGAAACGATCGCCACTCCTGGGAGGAACATCTAATTGGGGTCCAGGCAGGGGATTGATTACACTAATGATTTTTGTTCTGCCCACAAAGGGGGCAGGACCATATCAAGCCAACCACAAGCGCGCACTCAAAATCTGGGGATGCCACATCCTATCTCGTCGCCGTAGGACGCCAAAACCATTTGGCGTATAGGAAAAAATGAACAACCTGGTCAACATTGTGCGTGGCTACTTGTACTAAAGGTGGCACCCAATGTCTACTTGGTGGCTGTTGCCAAAGCTTAAACAACCGAATAGCAGCCAAGCCTACACGTGCTTTCAGTGCTGCGGCCTCAGCATCTCAAACGATTGGGCTGACCAGAACCAGCAGCTGACTGATTGCAAGCGCATCGCGAACTGGAGAATCACCACGTGCGAACTGGAGAATCACCATGCCAAAGCTCCCCCAAGTTCCGGGTGAGGGATCAAAAAAACCTATTAGGCATCAAAAAACGTATTTCTGAAGATCAAAAACCACTTATTAGGGATAAAACTTATTCTCATTTAAACAAACAGAGGATCCAAAAAACGTTTTAGGGATCAAAAACATTCATTTCGTGGCAGGCGCAGCACTTTCGCAAGGTCAGGTACAGATTTCGCGGCAGGCGCAGCACTTTCGCACGGTGCAGATTTCGTGATAGATTTCGTGGCAGGCACAATGCTTTCGCAGGTCAGGTATAGATTTCGTGGCAGGCGCAGATTTCTTGGCAGGCGCAGCAGGTCAGGTACAGACTTCGTGGCAGGCGCAGTACTTTCGCGAGGTGCGGTACAGCTTTCGCGCGCAGCACTTTCGGCAAGGCGCTGCACCGATTTTGCGGCAGGCGCACTTTCACAAGGTCAGGTGCAGACTTCATGGCAGGCGCAGTGCTTTTGCAAGGTCAGGTGCAGAGTTCGTGGCAGGTGGAGCACTACGCATCGCGGCAAGCGCAGCACTTTCGCAAGGTGAGGTACAGATTTCGCGGCAGGCGCAGCACTTTCGCAAGGCCAGGTACAGATTTCGTTGCAGGCGCATTACTTTCGCAAGGTCAGGTGCAGATTTCGCAGCAGGCGCAGGACTTTGGCAGGTCAGGTGCCAATATTGCGGCAGGCGCAGCACTTTCGCAAGGTACGGCGCAGAGTTTGACGCAGGCGCAGCATTTTCGCAAGCAGTGAAGAAAAAGATGCAGAGATATAAACATGAAGAAAAAGGAGGGAGAAAAGAGAGAGAGAGAGAGAGAAAGAAAGAAAGAAAGAAAGAAAGAAAGAAAGAAAGAAAGAAAGAAAGAGAGAGAGTGATGATCGAAGCTCTGTAAGCATTCTCAAAATCAGCAGGGGGGTTGCCGCCCCCCCCATGATGTTCGAGGAAGTGATGATTCAACAAGTGGTGCGTCAAACTCTGTAAGCATTCTACAAATCAGCAGGGGGGTTGGGGGGGGGCGGCCCCCCCCATGATGTTCGAGGAAGTGATGATTCAACAAGTGGTGCGTTAAACTCTGTAAGCATTCTACAAATCAGCAGGGGGGTTGGGGGGGGGCGGCCCCCCCCATGATGTTCGAAGAAGTGATGATTCAGCAAAGGGTGCAGTAATCTCTGTAAAACTTCTGAACATCAGCGGGGGGGTTGGGGGGCGGCAGCCCCCCCCCCCCCATGATGCTCGAAGAAGTGATGATTCAACAAAGGGTGAGTGGTGAGTGGTTTGGGGGGGGCTTCCTTCCTTCCTTCCTTCCTTCCTTCCTTCCTTCCTTCCTTCCTTCCTTCCTTCCTTCCTTCCTTCCGTGTCCCCATAGGAATGAAAAGATGGTTTTTGTTGATGCCTAACAAGTTTCTTTTTTGATGACAAATAAGTTTTCTTTTGATCCCTAATAGGTTTGTTTGATGCCTATCCCCCAAATTCCCCCGTGAGTTCCACCACAGCAGTGGAAAAATCGGCAAGGGGAAAAAAGGGCGCGGCCATCGCCCAGATAAGCCTCAAACAGCTGGGCCCAGTAATTCCCTTGCAGGCCGTTTGGATTTGCAGACTGAGACCAGCAACATAAGTCGTTTCCCTTCTTGTTTTATTCTCAAACTAAGCCTCAGCCTTAAACCAACCCCAATAAGAGAAACCGACAGATTCGATTCCTTCTGCTACACTGCTCGCCTCTTCCTGCCCTCTGGCCCGACTTTGGTCTCATGACCTCGGGAAAGGCGGAAGCTAGACCCACTCAGCCGCACCAAGGATATGTTCAAATACATTTACCTGGAGTCTCCAAAAAATGGGTCATGGAGACTCTAGGTAGATGTAAACGGCCTTCGCAAGGCCGGGAGTGGACAATTCCATGCACCAAACTGAGGGAGGTGAACGCAAGGGGCACCTGAAGAAACCCCTGAGCGCAAGACCCACAACGTCCTTCCACTGCGCCTGGCAACGAGTCATTCCGAAATGCAACTCTTAGCCACAGGCACACAATCGACGAATCTCAATTGGTGATTTGGATTGGTCATTGGTGGTGTGATGGTCAAGAAGGGGTTCCTCTACAAGAACCAGAGTTCAATCCCTAAACCAATAATCCAAACCACTAACTAAGGGCAACCTGAGGATCTGCACAGTTTGCAAAAACAAGAGGTGAAATAAGGGATTTCCAAGCAAATGACCTGCATCATGGTTAGTCTGTTTTGCCCCTCAGATGAGCTCGGAACAAATATTGAACGTCACTAGCTTTGCCTCATTGCTTGCATTCTTGGACAAGCACTCCAGCAAAGCCCCCCTATGGGCTAAGCGTGAACCAACCCCAAACCCGAACCAACCACAAACCACCCAATACCAATCCTACATGCGAGCCCAAGTCACATCCGCGCCGAACAATCAATCAATGCAGCCGAGAGAACGTGGGCCCTGGGAAGGGAGAAGGGCCCCGGATCAGATTCATGAACGCCTTTGTCGTGTCACGACCTAGGCATCAACCTGATGGACACTCCTCGAAGTGATGTGGAACTGGCCGGACTTTTCAGAGAAAAGCCACACTTAAACGCCTTCCTAAAGTCTCCATGACTCTGAAAAAATGGGTCCATGACCCTTTAATTTTGGGTAATGAACCAATTGTTTAAGGGTCATGGAGACTCCAGGCCTGTGTTGTTTGGTTGCCTTTTGCAGGCACGGAGCGGCCTTGCCAGTGCGGACCACTTTGCTGGCAAGGCCGATTGCCACCTGGGCAAACGCTTCTTCCAGCAATCTGCATGCCCCCTAAGCAGTTGAAATCAGTACCTTCCAGTGATCTTGGCAAAAAGGGGCCTGCAAGCCTGCAGCCAACTGGCTGCCGGGCCCTTTTTTGATCAAGCGGTACCCTTCGACCGCACGCCTATGTTCGCAGTCTGCTGTCAATACGGCGCAAAAGGGGGGAAGCGGACTTGATTAGTCCACGTCTTTCCACATGCCTATTTTCGACTGCCCCCTGGGCCGGGAACCCTGAACCCTATGAGCAAGTTGCAGCGTTCCCCTCAATTCTGTTTGGACCTGGACCTTCTCCTGGCGTTCCGTTGGCTTGGAGCCTGTCTTCTTTCAATAACCTTTGGACGTCATTTGGCCATGGGTCAAAAACCCGCACCCCCAGTGAACATGCCAATCCCCACTAAAATCGACTAAAATGGGTGGGGCACCTACCCCAAAATAGTACCATTGGTTTTGACCCAGTCGACCACACAACGAGCTCAGCTTTTAGGCCGCCCCCCCCCCTGTGTTTGGAACGCGGCGGGTTGCTCGTTCACCAAGGTAACACTTCCATGAATCTCCTCTTGAGAATGGTGGTCACATTGCATGGCCATGGCCTCTTGAAATCTGGTCGACATCAAAAACACACATGGCTGTGGCTCGAAAACATGTACCTAGAGTCTCCATGACCCTTAAAAAATGGGTCCATGACCCTTTCATTTGTTAGGGTCATGGAGACTCCAGGTACCAAAATGGCACCCTTGCAAATGGAACCCAAGACCAACACCCGCGTAACCTTAGCTCTTTAATTTGAGCCACACCCCATGTGTCGCTTCGCTGACCGATGTCAACCGAGCTGCAGGAAGCAGCTGCAGGCCACGGTTCAAGATTCCCGCCGGCGACCTGACTTGGTGCTTCGGGAGCCTCAAAAGGGTTCATTCAAAACACAGGTTGTCAACAAAGGAAGGCGCAGCAAGCCGGAGAACTCGTTGCGGCTTGCGCATGGGAGTCCGGAGTCAAACATGCGCATTGTGCAAAGTGGAGCGTTTCGCAGCGTGAAACACATTGGCTGGTGCTCAAGGTGGTAGTGGCTTGTCTGTGTGTCAAAGGCCCATGCCTAGGTGACAGGGGCGTGGCTGGAGCTAGTGTGGACACAGCTGGAATTGAAGAAGCGAAGCGAAACCCTTTTTGTCGCTACTGAGACACAAGACCCAGGATGAGGAAGATTGACCGCTTGGGCCTTTTGTTTTGGATGCGGCAACCTTTGAACTGTGCCATGTAGGTGGATCTGGGGCTGCAAATGATGTGTGCTTGCCAGAGCTGGACTCTCGAAGAATCGGAGTGCCCTGGATGAAGGCAATCCTCACCATACAGGAAGCGTGCTATTGACAAGGGGCTAGTGCGTTTGGCGCCTCTGTGGTTGCAGCCTCGTTTCGTCTAGCAAATTTCTGTGGTGAGAATTGCTTCAAGTAAAGCAAGCATCCATTATGTGTTTGTGTGTGTGCGCGTTTGCTTAAAAAACAGAAGAGAGAGGTTACATACTATACTGCTTGAATCAAACACGCACCTATCATTCCAGTCATTCCTAGCATCTTGCCAAACATGCTTGCGGATTCTCCCTGTAGCCCTTTAACACCAGTCCGTGCGCGAGACATGGAAGTGATACTTCAGCCAAGATGCACTGGTGGCTGAGCCTCGTCGCGACCGGCCCCTTTTGGGGGGGGGGAGGGGGGTTCCCACTGACCTTTTAAGCACCAAAGAACCACTCTGCCCGGCAATGCAGCAGTGCAAAAGGTGAACGTCAGCCAAGCAAAGGTGTTATGTTTTCTCCTCTCAACTAACTATGCAAAATCGCGACAGCCCGCCCGTGCATCACTTTGGGGGTGTGGGATCATTGCTGTTTCGTGAGCCAGGAAGGGATCGGGATCCTCGACATCAGCAATTGTAAACACCCATGCTCTCACTGTCATGCGCCAAGACTCGAAATCAAAAGTTCGACATACTGGGGTAAGCACCAAACATCGGCCCGCAATGCCAAAGAACTGTCGAGCATACCATTTAAGCATACCCCACCCCTCCCATGATGAGGAATCCTTGTGTAGGGGGTCCGGGGTATGCTCAAAAGGTATGCTAAAAAGTTATTGGACAATGGACAGCCAAGGTCATAAGGTCCCTTTAGGGTTCCTTTATGCATCTGCTGGTTGCCAAACAGATGTGCCCTTCCAAACCACGCAGGTCACGGCTCCCTTCCATAGGATCCCTTACATTGGCTAATTTCCCTTGAGGGCTTGACGACCCCGACATGCCACATGTGGCTTTTTAAGGGTCCAATGAGGAAGCCGAGTCGCGCAACTCCGCAGCACCGGGGCTGCTCCGCTGCCCATGCCCACAACTGGCGGAAGAAGTCTGCCCCACTTGGAGAAACGAGAGGCGACGACCTTTTCCGTCTCAACACGGGCTCGTCGATTGGGAATCCCAACAAGTGGTGTGGTTTCCAGCTCCTTTCCTGTGAAGCCACCCCAAAAATAAAGCAAACCCACACGCAAACTTACTACTTGTCATAAATTGCAAGAGCCCAAAGGCAGGCTTGAGACGGAATGGACACTTGGGCACTGCATTGCCTTGGCTCAAACTAGATCCAATAAACACACAAGGCCGATGACAAGGCCGATGGCCATTTAAGTTGACACATTTAATACTAGTTGTTCGGCACAGTGATGGCTTGGACCGTGAAGCAGCTCGTGATGCCGATTGCAACAAACGTGAACGACGCCTCTTTCATGTTCTGGTGGCGCCCACCAAGGAATGCATTGAGAGATTGTGCACTCTCAGTAAACCCGCTCAACCGAGTTTCCTGCCTTTGGTCGGCAAGAGTGGCTCCATGGCTGCAATGGCCCCGCGAGGACAAAGCCGAGCTGCTTGCTGAAGCTGCTCCAGGATGAGGTCATGCAGTACATTGAGCACAATCACTATGCTGATTGTCAGCTTGAGGGACACTCATCAAGACCAGGGCAAGATCATTTCCCACGAAAGACACTGTTGCCAAACACGGCTCAATAAGTCATCAGCTACCATCAGCATCGCCTGGTGAAAATGGCCAGCGCCGGGCCAGCGAATGAGATCCGATCAAAATCTTTAAGCGTCGGGTGAAGGACACAACTCAGCCCCTGGATCAAGGACTTCACTGACCTGTTGAGTGTTCTGGCCAGGACATCTTTAAACTGTCCGGGCCTTGCCAAAAATGATGAGGAAACCTGGGAACAAAGAGTTTCCAGTTTGCCAATTCGACAGGCAAGCTTGTTTGGGAAGTCTTCACTTGTGCTTTCAATGGTGTTTCGGTGCCCTCCCCTGTCCCTGCAGGGCACCAGCTGACGACTGCGCAACCGGCGCAACCGCGGCGGCCATGAGAGCGTAGCACCGGATCTTGGCCTAATCGAGCCGAGCATTTGAACTTCTGGCAAGGAAAACGTCGGCCCTCCCCCCTCCATGCTTTATTTTCCATGTGCCTGGAGTCTCCACGACCCTTAACAAATGAGGTCATTACCCAAAATTAAAGGGTCATGAAGGGCCCCCTTTGTCGAGGGCACTGCCCTTTCCTTGCATCACTTATTTAGTTAGGGTGCGAATGCGGACGGCTGAGAGGAAACATCCACATGGCAATGTCCATGGCAAAACTTGTGGTGACAGAAGCTCCTTTGCAAAGGCTGGCCTAACTCGATGACACCTCCGAGGTGCAGTGATTGGCAGGTCAGCTGGCCGTCATAACTGACAAGCCCAGCGCGAACTGCTCGTAACAAAAAGAGTCTTGAAGGTGGCTTGACTTTAGACAACCTGAAGGTCCTGTCACGACATTGAATTGAGAGCTTGGGAAAATACTTTGACTGGTGCCAGCTTGTCGCTTGGCCGGAGGGTGGCGAAACAAACAGACCAGCCCCAGGTGCGCCGGGCTTCGGGCTTCTACCAGCTGGTGCTTCCTTTGTTCGCAGACCTGACGTAAGGCATATGCCTTGCATCTTGCCCACCTCAGCTTCTCCTATCAAACACTATCCGTTTGATTTCGGCACCTAACAAACCTCAAGCTATACCAGAAAAGAGAGATCCCAATGGCAGGATGCCGCAACCACCATCAAATCAGAGTTCATGCTGCGAAATGAGCTGGCACTTGGCCTCCGGCCCCAAGTTTTGACACAAAACACACACAACATGTCCAATGTGTAAGCATTGCTGCTGCATGCAGCACCAAATGTTCGACCAGCCTGGAACATGAGGTAGAATCTCCCATTCATCTCTCTGACAATGGCTTTGTCGGAGAATATCAGGGAGGCCGCGCCTCAGCAAGTCAAGCAAACTTTGACATTCCTTGCCTGGACAGGCGCAACCTGTGTCCAATATCCGATATCCGCGCAGGATTGAGAACAAGCTGCCAGGCACTTTCTGCACCGCACCGTCCCCCCAAGCTCCGCTGTAGGTTTACAGCACGGTAGCGAAGCAAAGCCTCACTTTGGCGTTTGCCTTTGCGTTCAACTGCCATAGGCTTGCATGAGTTCATGAATTGCAACCGTTCTATCAACCTTTCTAGCCTCATTGGCTGACCCATGGACAAGCCAACATGTACGCAAAACAAAATGAGGAACCAAGCTCAAGCAAGCGCAGTGCGCATCCATGCCAGTTTGGCACGTACCGCTTTGCAAAGCAGCCGAGCATTTCCATGAGAATCATCCTCATGGCAACCACAGGAATGAACGCCTGAAGATCTGAAGAGGAAGACAACGGGCTGCAACTGCACACAGCGCGGACCCAGCGACTGGTCTTGTCCTTCGTCAGGAAAGCATACTACAATGCGTGTTGCAAATAACGATCACGCACATTTTGTGGCCCAACCTGGTCGGGTAGGCCGAGACTTCCAATTGGCATCAACAAAAGATGCCCCCTCTCCAAGCCAACGCGAAATCCCGAAAGCATTCACAGGAATCCTGTTGAAAAACACATTCCATTCGGGATCCTGTTTTATCTTCAAATGGCACTACCCGACAGGGGGGGTGGTAAAAACGTGAAACAGGAGAAACCGGCGGCTAAGCTCAGGGGATAAGCCGCCGGCCGAGCTCAGCTGTGTCAGCGCCAATTTAGAGAAGAAAAAAACAACACGCCTGGCGCCACCGCCATGGCAAGACCAAAGAAAGGGCGCCTTGGACCTGCTTCTAGGTGGATCTGCTGAAGCAGACAACCAATGCCCTTTCAAGGGGCCTGGAGCTCAGACACCGCCAGACCACGCCTCGGCACGCTTTCCGGAGCCTGATTTAGAGTGGGGAGTTCGGGGCTATCCTAACAGCGAATGGGAACCTCAATCACTTCCCCCTATTTGAACCCGCCTCAGTTTCCCCAGGCTTCCTATTCGAAGATACTCATGCCAAAAATCCCACGCATGGGGCTTTGTGATGCCCGACTCCTCACAGTCCCCGAATCTTGTGGGTCCATTAATGTGCCGGCTCACTCCAACGCCGTGGTCTTACCTGTGGACATCCCTGGGTCATTTTCCGGCAGGGCTAGAAGCTAGATAAGGTTTTAAAGAGCAGCCCATGTTTGTTCAATATCTGGGTCGTGCTGGTGTCCTTCAGTGCCTGCTGCCCACGGCTACTCAACTGATGGACAGCCACCAGCTGCCTCAAAGTCCAAGGTGCCTGGTCAAGACTCTTCACTTCGCTTCTCACCTCGCTCCTCACGTCCCACAGCTGGCCTGTGCTTGACAGGACCCCAGTTTGCACGAATAGCACGAAATTCATTGGGGACCCTGCGGAGAACATATTCCTCACTAATTACAAATCATCGCCGCTCCTTTTTGGGGGGTGCGCGGCTTAAAGCAAATAGATTGCTAGTGCTAGTGTGCTACTCAACATCTGGATGTCTTTTAAAACAAGGCTGCGGGCGTGATGGCTTCATATTAGAAAGCCCTGCCAAGCCTTCCGCGCAAAATCCACTGATTCTTCAACCTCTGCACGCCCGAGTGCCAACACGTGCCGCCACGCAGTCTCCCTAAGTATGCGGGAACTCCCGGAACAAAAAACAAAAAAAAAAACAGCATACCTCCCCTGCACCTCCCCTGCCAGAGGGAAAAACTTCACTGTTTTCTAATGCATCCCGCGTCGCGATTGCGCCAAATTGATCAATGGGCAGATCCGGGGTTGACCGGATCCCGCCTGAATGAATTGGAGGACGTGCCGGTAGAGCCTTGGATGACATGGTTGCCGCTTCTGCTCTCCTCCGCTCATGACTCGAATGAGGTTGGACCTGTTATGGATATCAAGGTGATGTGAAAGGTAGCAAGAATTCAGCAGCGCGGCGCATCCTTTCCCCTAAGCCAAGCACATGTGCAAATACTAGACTTGTTCATAGCCAAAAGACCTGAGAAGGTTTCTGCAGACCTTCCTCAACACACTCATCTTTGCTTGTCCATCCAGGTGCTTTGTACCGGCATCCGCCGTATTCACGGTCTAGACGATGTCCTTGCTTGCACCCTCTGTTCAAGCCAGAGGTAGTTCCTGCGGATGTGTTTGGCCTTCCCGTGGCCTCTTCTCGACCGCATTGACTTAGATGGGTATGACCCCAAGCAACACGGACCCCGCCTTGACCCCAGCATATTCGCCACTCGCAATCAAATAACGTGGCGCGTGGACGAGTAGAACTTGATGTGAGGTGTGCCCCCAGCATCGCCGCCCCACAGCTTCTGGACTTGTGGGCCACTCAGCAACCCGCATCATCATGGTCGTTTCAACAATGTGACGACCGAGAACCGTACCGAACCGTTACCGTATCGTATCGAACCGAGACCGGCGGAATTGTATCGCGCCGAACCGAACAAAAGGTCGGGACCACCGAGGCAAATCGAACATTCAGACCCGTCTTGCAATTGCCAAGGGTCATTTAGCAGTCCCTAACACAGTGTTTGTCGCACAGTGAACAAGCCGAAGCGAGTTTGCTAGGGCCTAACAAACTGACTTTGCACAGCCGGACCCCGTCAAGCAAACGAAAGGCACTCTATCAAGAAATCAATTCGTTAGGACGCAACAGATTGATTTCAGACACTTCACTTGCTCAAGCCAAAAGACCTGAGAAGGTTGGCCACACTTCTGCAGCTACCCAGGTAACGTTGCCAAGAGTACCTGATTTTCCTTATGCTGCGAGGCCCCGACGCCTGCTTGATTGTTCGCATCATCAACCCATCGACATGCACAACGTGGAATATGGTTCCGAGTTAAAGTTAGCAATAGGAATCTCACAGCGATTTGATATGGGCCGTTGTCTATAAAACTTCCTTGAGCAACCGAAGGAGATCCCCACTTCGAGGCAAATGACGGTTTAAACCGTTCACGGCCGTGACCCATTTCTGGTTCGACCCTTGCCCGTGCCGTGAGCAAAAAAATCAAAGGCATCAATTCCACATGGATACCCCCAATATAGACCTGTGTTTGCCCATCTCCCTTGACGCTTAAGGGCCCAGGGTGCTGGGTAAGTGCCACCAAAATCAAGCCTTAGTTGTCAGCTTTCAGGGTTATGAGCTGCAGCGAAGGGTGCTAGCTACTGGCTAAGTACCCTGCCTCTTCAAGTAATGTTGCCTCCCCCTGTTTATTACTAGGAGGGGCACACTATCGGTATCCATCCTCAAACATACCTTCAGCGCTTCCATGGAAGTCACCTCAACAATTGATAGGGCTTCCTGCAACCCTCTCCCAACGCAGCGCCGGTCTCTGGCTAATTTATCGAGGCTGCCTTTGCGAGGGCCTGGCGCGTGGGGAATGGCCCGCCAAGCATACCCCGTGCCAGCCGTGGCAGCCAACCATGGAAGGTGTTTTGGCGTAAGTTTCTGTAAGCAAAGGTTGTTCGCGCAGGTTCTTGACGCAGAGCTCTCTACAAGTTTCTCTACGACCCCACGCGCGGTTTCGACGTTCTCGCCGCAAGTCCTAGTGCAAGTTGTCTGCGCGAGTCTCTCAGCGCGCTCTCACGCGCAATCTGGCTGCGCAATGTCTCCGTGACCTCTCTCCTTGACATCAGCACCATCTCACGTGCAATCACACTGAGCAATCTCTCTGCACAATCTCTCTGAGCAATCTAGCTTGTGAGTAAGTGAGTGAGCGACTGAGTGAGTGAGTGAGTGAGTGAGTGAGTGAGTGAGAGTGAGTGAGCGACTGAGTGAGTGAGTGAGTGAGTGAGTGAGTGAGTGAGTGAGTGAGTGAGTGAGTGAGTGAGTGAGTGAGTGAGTGAGTGAGTGAGTGAGTGAGTGTGAGTGAGTGAGTGAGTGAGTGAGTGAGTGAGTGAGTGAGTGAGTGAGTGAGTGAGTGAGTGAGTGAGTGAGTGAGTGAGTGAGTGAGTGAGTGAGTGAGTGAGTGAGTGAGTGAGTGAGTGAGTGAGTGAGTGAGTGAGTGAGTGAGTGAGTGAGTGAGTGAGTGAGTGAGTGAGTGAGTGAGTGAGTGAGTGAGTGAGTGAGTGAGTGAGTGAGTGAGTGAGTGAGTGAGTGAGTGAGTGAGTGAGTGAGTGAGTGAGTGAGTGAGTGAGTGAGTGAGTGAGTGAGTGAGTGAGTGAGTGAGTGAGTGAGTGAGTGAGTGAGTGAGTGAGTGAGTGAGTGAGTGAGTGAGTGAGTGAGTGAGTGAGTGAGTAAGTGTGTGAGTGAGTGAGTGAGTGAGTGAGGGAGGGAGGGAGGGAGGGAGGGAGGGAGTGGGTGGCTGAGTGTGGAGTGCCTGGAGCGCGTGGAGAGAATGGAGTGTATGGGGTGAGTGGAGACTGAGTGGAGCGGACGAGTGAGTGAGTGAGTGAGTGAGTGAGTGAGTGAGTGAGTGAGTGAGTGAGTGAGTGAGTGAGTGAGTGAGTGAGTGAGTGAGTGAGTGGAGTGAGTGTGGAGTGAGTGGTGAGTGGTGAGTGAGTGAGTGAGTGAGTGAGTGAGTGAGGGTGGGCGGGTGGGTGGGTGGGTGGGTGGGTGAGTGAGTGAGTGAGTGAGTGAGTGAGTGAGTGAGGGAGGGAGTGAGGGCGTGAGGGAGGGAGGGAGGGAGGGAGGGAGGGAGGGAGGGGAGGGAGGGGGTTGGTGGGTGGGTGAGTGAGTGATTGAGTGAGAGAGAGACAGAGAGAGCGTGGGTGAGGAAGAGAGGGTAGGTGAGTGAGTGAGGGTGAGTGAGAGAGGGTGAGTGAGTGAGTGAGTGAGTGAGTGAGTGAGTGAGTGAGTGAGTGAGTGAGTGAGTGAGTGAGTGAGTGAGTGAGTGAGTGAGTGAGTGAGTGAGTGAGTGAGTGAGTGAGTGAGTGAGTGAGTGAGTGAGTGAGTGAGTGAGTGAGTGAGTGAGTGAGTGAGTGAGTGAGTGAGTGAGTGAGTGGGCGAGCGAGCGAGTGAGTGAGTGAGAGAGTGAGTGAGTGAGAGAGAGAGAGAGTGGGTAAGGGAGAGAGAGGGTGGGTGAGTGAGAGCGAGTGAGCGAGTGAGAGTAAGTGAGAGTGCGTGAGGGTGAGTGAGAGTGAGTGGGAGGGAGAGCGAGTGAGATGGGTAGAGTGAGTGGGTGGGTGAGTAAAAGTGAGTGAGAGTGAGTGAGAGTGAGTAAGGGTAAGAGAGAGTAAGTCAGAGGGAGCGAGAGGGAGTGAGAGTAAGGCAGCGTGAGCGACTGTAGCATAGTACGCAAAAGCACTTTCAGCACGAAAGTCGCAGCTTTGCAGAGCAAAGGGACAAAGGGGGTTCCTCTTCATTTGGGGGAACTGCCGAATCGGGGGGGATCATGGGTGCCGCCCCCAGTGTCAAGCTACTTCGGCACTAAAATTCCTCCGATTCCAACGCTGGTCCCATAATCCCCAATGAAGGATTGACGACCACCACTGACCCGCAAGGGGGAACACCAACTGTGGGATTCTGCAATGCAAGGCTTGATCGACTATTTCTCCATTTGATCGATTGGGGAAATCCCCTGTTCAGTGGATCCCTGCCGCACATTGTCCCGCACAAAAACCGAAACACTCCTTTCATCACCCGGTAATCCTCTGTCAAGTTGAGGTTTCGAACATCCATGGTAGGGGACTGCCCGTGCTTCGGGGAGTCCGCAGCTGTGGTGAGGTGATGGTGCTGGAGTAGGAAAGCCGTATCTTGGTTGCTGTTGATCCCTCTGCAAAAAGTTTAACTGTTTGTGGGTTTAGTAGAAAACCCCTTGATTTAAAGATCCAACCCAATAGCAGTCAAGGTATGTCACTGGGGTTTGCAGTCCTCTACTGAGCATGGAAAATAGGGTGGTCAAAACCAATGAAATTCCAGACAGCAACTGGACACCCACGAATTCCTGCCAAAGCCTTTTTTTTCTTTTGGCGCACAAACACAACTGCAAATGGAATGGATCCAACACCACCTCCTCCAGCACTTGCTGCAAATGACATTCCGAACCCCCCCCCATAGGTCATCCCCGATCTGCAAGTTGCAAGTATCTTGCCAGGCCTTCAGCTGCCTCTCGATCTTGTTGCCTCGGGTCTTTCGAAATCCGACATGAAAGCAAAAGGCCCCCTGCCGTAAAAGGCCCTATGTCTCACACTGCGTGTGGCGCTTCCCCCAAAAGGGTCCAGTTGCCCTGGTTGAAGCGGGAGCTTGTCCAGGCGTGCGGCTACATGTGGCAATGAAGGGGTGCCTGAAACCAGTGCCAAAAGTCAGCAGTTTCACAGGTCTGGCAGGTGTGCTCATGCAGAAAAACCGTAGCCTCATCACCCTAGACATGGCTTAGCAACATGCGACTTGCTCTCGAGGACATGCAGCCGAGAAACTGTGGCCCAGCAATCTGGCCATGTCAATATTCTTTGCTGGGCCTGCGTCGTGTCTAGGCGAGCTCTGCACAGTCGCAAGTTTCTCCGAAAGTATCGCATGCAACGAAGCCAAGTCTCACAATCTCCCAGCCCACTCCGTAAAAGGAAAGTCGTGAGTGCAGGCAAAGAACATGTTGGCTGAACGTTCTCACTTCCTGAGTGAATCGAACCAACCAATTAATTGCGCTTCACCGTCTTGTACTCCAAAGGCCGGGGAACCAATATTGGAATCTAGACAGCTCAAGCCTGATTTGGCTCTGGTGGTACCTTCGTGGCAAGCCCCGGAGGCAAGAACATGCATTTCCCATGTTGCATCACTTGCGCCGATTTCCCCCAGGGGGGGGTTGAGAATCTCGGCAGCATCTCTTCACCCTGAAACAACCAACTAACCCACTGTCAGTTTCCTCGAAGCGTCTCAACTTACACATTCCTGCGTATCCCCAGATTTTGGGACAAGGATATATATATATATAGGAATGAGTGACTCAAATGGTTGGCCACCTTCTGGCTGAACGAATCACAGCCTAGGTCCTCCAGTAGAGAGGTTAGAACAAGGGTACCCTTTTTCTGTAGTCTATTTTGGTAGGGGAACCCTCCCCCAGAAAAGGGTAAAAGGACACTACTGGGAGGACCTAGACGCCACCCACAAACGGGATCTGTGAAAACAATCTTCGCTTGCGTTGGGCTTGCTGCGTGTGCGGCGCTCCAGCCGCTGCAGGGACGGAAACAACGGAAACTGAGAGACCGTCCTCGTAAACGAGAAGCACCCTCCAGGAACTCATTCCTTGGAAGTCCAGGTGTCGAATGGCCATTGGATTGTAGCCAATCGTGGGCAAGTAGGGGGTCCGGGAAAATGACCAAAAGATCCAAATCTTTGTGACTTGATGTGGACAGAACCATGAAAATGCATAGCTTATCTATCCCAAGCCTGTTGGCTTGCTGATACTCGAATGCCGTGCTACCCTAAACCTACCTCAACAACACTGTTCTGGATTTTTGGCAATCCCAAAGCGTCAAAAGGGTCTCTGAACTTTGAGCCTGTCCATCTCCCCAGGGTTGCGGAACCGTAAACCCGGATCGTCCTTCGCGAATTCTCTTGCCAAACCAAGCTTTCCGCACCCATACCTGATGATACTTGGGTCAGACAGGGGAGTTAGGTGATTCACCGCAACGGCTTGCACGCAACTTCCTGACGCAAACCCTGGCCGACTCACGGCTCGAGAAATCGAGATCTCGCCAGGGGGCAGTGAGATGACGCCGTCCCCATCATCGAGAAGGTGGAAGAGACTCACCAAGTCGGCGGACTCCAACTCCTGAGTGCGACACGGCGAAGGATGTCTCGAACACAAACAAACGCCTTTGGCTTTTTTCGTGGAAATGTCCATACCGGAAAAACAAAAAATGCTAGGATGAACCATCTAACTGGGGCAACATGTTGCCCATCCACGCTACTCACAAAAGCGCCATCACACAAGCCCTCTCAGTGTGGATCCTTTGGCTCTGGCTGCACCAGGGTAAAGAGGCTTGCCAGAGCAGTTCTGGCAGATGCGAGGCATAAAATTATCACGCAGCTAAGCCAACTTGTGCGGGAGTCGAGCCACCCCGCAGCACCACCGTGTCTTGGGAAAATCGGCAGCCCCCAAAGAGTGCTTTATATTTCCGCGACGCACCGCGGATTTTTCGGCCAGGTCACGAGCTGGCTGGCCCAGAAGCGAAGCTTAGGACCTTGGCCATGCGAACTGGGACCTGGGCCTAGAATCCACGTGGGCCGGCAAAAGCTCACGTGTTACTTGCTTCGGGTTGCCTATTGACTGCTCTGCTGTGCTGTGCTGTGCTGTGCTGCGTTGATTTGCGCTGCGCGCGCGCATGTGTGTGTGTGTGTGTGGGTGTGTGGGTGTGTGGGGGTGTGGGTGTGTGGGTGTGTGGGTGGGTGGGGGTGTGTGGGTGTGTGGGTGTGTGGGTGTGTGGGTGTGTGGGTGTGTGGGTGTGTGGGTGTGTGGGTGTGTGGGTGGTGTGGTGTGTGTGTGTGTGTGTGTGTGTGTGTGTGTGTGTGTGTGTGTGTGTGTGTGTGTGTGTGTGTGTGTGTGTGTGTGTGTGTGTGTGTGTGTGTGTGTGTGTGTGTGTGTGTGTGTGTGTGTGTGGGGTTGTGTGTGTGTGTGTGTGTGTGTGTGTGTGTGTGTGTGTGTGTGTGTGTGTGTGTGTGTGTGTGTGTGTGTGTGTGTGTGTGTGTGTGTGTGTGTGTGTGTGTGTGTGTGTGTGTGTGTGTGTGTGTGTGTGTGTGTGTGTGTGTGTGTGTGTGTGTGTGTGTGTGTGTGTGTGTGTGTGTGTGTGTGTGTGTGTGTGTGTGTGTGTGTGTGTGTGTGTGTGTGTGTGTGTGTGTGTGTGTGTGTGTGTGTGTGTGTGTGTGTGTGTGTTGTGTGTGTGTGTGTGTGTGTGTGTGTGTGTGTGTGTGTGTGTGTGTGTGTGCGTGTGTGTGTGTTCGTGTGTGTTCGTGTGTGTGTGTTGTTCGTGGTGTTCGTGTGTGTTCGTGTGTGAGTGTTCGTGTGTGTCGTGTGTGTTCGTGTGTGTTCGTGTGTGTTCGTGTGTGTTCGTGTGTGTTCGTGTGTGTTCGTGTGTGTTCGTGTGTTGTGTGTTCGTGTTCGTGTGTTCGTGTGTGTTCGTGTGTGTTCGTGTGTGTTCGTGTGTGTGTGTGTTCGTGTGTGTGTGTGTTCGTGTGTTCGTGTGTGTTCGAGTGTGTTCGTGTGTGTTCGTGTGTGTTCGTGTGTGTTCGTGTGTGTTCGTGTCGTTTGTGTGTTCGTGTGTGTGTTCGTGTGTGTTCGAGTGTGTTCGTGAGTTCGTGCGTGTTCGTGTGTGTTCGTGTGTGTTCGTGTGTTTCGTGTGTGTCGTGTGTGTTTGTGTGTTCGTGTGTGGTTCGTGTGTGTTCGTGTAGTGTGTGACGTGTTCGTGTGTTCGTGTGTGTCGTCGTGTGTGTCCGTGTGTGTTCCTGTGTGTTCCTGTGTGTTCCTGTGTGTTCCTGTGCGTTCGTGTGTGTTCGTGTGTGTTCGTGTGTGTTCGTGTGTGTGTTCGTGTGTGTTCGTGTGTGTTCGTGTGTGTTCGTGTGTGTTCGTGTGTGTTCGTGTGTGTTCGTGTGTGTTCGTGTGTGTTCGTGTGTGTTCGTGTGTGTTCGTGTGTGTGTGTTCGTGTGTGTTCGTGTGTGTTCGTGTGTGTTCGTGTGTGTTCGTGTGTGTTCGTGTGTGTTCGTGTGTGTTCGTGTGTGTTCGTGTGTGTTCGTGTGTGTTCGTGTGTGTTCGTGTGTGTTCGTGTGTGTTCGTGTGTGTTCGTGTGTGTTCGTGTGTGTTCGTGTGTGTGTGTGTGTGTGTGTGTCTGTGTGTCTGTGTGTCTGTGTGTCTGTGTGTCTGTGTGTCTGTGTGTCTGTGTGTGTGTCTGTGTGTGTGTGGGTGTGTGGGTGTGTGTGTGTGTGCATGGGTGTGCGTGAGTGAGAGTCAGCGAGAGTGGGTGTAGTGTGTAGTGTGTAGTGTTCAGCGTGCAGTGTGTAGTTTGTAGTGTGTCGTGCGCTTGATTGTGTTTGTAAAAGTTGTTGTTTCTGGCTATATAAGTGGCGGGGCTCGGTGATTTTCAAAACCACAAACACCAACTTCGGTGATAGCCCTCAGGGCAAAACAAGGTAGGTGAGCATGCAGCAGGCCATTCAGGTTTAGCTGCTCTCAATCATCTCGTTGAACTCGTCCATAGTGACTACACCATCTCCTGAGACAGTCAACTTGAGAGAGGACGAACAGAAACCTTTCAAAGCCTTTCACTGTCCGCCCGGGCAATGTACGACAGCATGTGTCCAGCCAGGGCGGGAACCCGCATGCCCCCGCCAAAAAAAAGAAGGCAAACACACTTGGGTCCGTCACTGAACTAATCCAAAGTGGGGGAATTGCACCCAACTGTTTACCCTTGCCAGAAGCACAGCTGTTGTTTGAGAAAATGTTGCCAAAGCAATACACCCTTGCCACTTAAATGGCAAACATCGAAAAGGCAAGTCCAAAAACTTGTTCTGAGGCAGGCAGGCTTGGTCAGCTCAGCCTGACAAGTCAAAGACCGAAGACCTTCACGAGCCCTGCCTGAGCTGTCCAGCGCTTTGAACATGTCCTGAAGCTTATTTGTGACCTTCTCCTGGGCCTAGCGGTGAGGTCAAAGTCAGGCGTCTTTGGCAGAGCGTCGCCGTTTTGGGAATGGACCTAAAAAGCGCCGTAGAGGACATCGTGGTTCATAGGGGTCATTCCCTGACTCCCTGATGAAAACCGGCAACGTTGATTCCCAGTCAATCGTCCATTACCATCCCGAGCAAAACATTCATGCGACCAGGCGAGTAACCGGTTGGTGAAAATCATGTCCAGCAATTCGCATTGCATCACACGTGTTACTTCCCCAACAGCCTGGAACACCCTGGAACTTAGGCTGTGAGACCGCAAGCCCGCGAAGCGGTGCAGGGCAAAACGGCAAGACCCGGCGCTCAGAAAGGGCCGAAATCCCCAATAAGCATCGAAGAACACCTGAAAGGGGCCTGAAAAGGGGTTGCCTGCGTGCAGATCGTTGGACAAAATCTAACACCAGTTGGCAAGTGGTCCAAGCTTTCAAAGGGTTTTAGCCACCCTCACTTTGTCCATCCGTGATGCTGTTGTTCACACGCTGGGGCCAACCCCTTGTTGAAACACGTTTGGCCCCTATTGTTCAGACCGTCCTCTAGATCTCTCTTTGATCCTGTTGGCAAACGTTGCGCAAGCTTCCTGCCTTCAGCTTGGCGGCCTGAGGCGACAACGCTGCTGGTGACACGTGGCGGTACGGTCCGGATTGCTTTTCCTCCTTGGATTAAGCGGAGACCCTATTTGTGACCAAAGCACCCCCCAAATTCAGTTGTGAGTGGGGAACCACTGAGTAACTATTGTCCTCCGGATTAACCCGAGACAAACATTATCTGAAAACATTCCTCAAGTGTTGCTCGGGCATGCATTCATGTCATTCCACCTCTCTTTGACCGCTCTTCCGCGCACTGGAAGCATCGGCTAAGATGCGAATCCACTAGGTCACTCTGAGCCTAAGGGTAGCAGAAGCAGGTCCAGTAAGATCAGCCAAAGAAAACACCAGGCCACTACGCAGCCATTGTAAGGAAAGGCGACACTGGCGAGTATCCTTGGGCTCACTGCAAGGTCAACGAGCAACCCCACAGCAGCTGAGAAAAGCCACCCACCAGAAACCGCGCGAGCCCCAAAACGTAGAAATGGCCCCGGGAAGGCGCTCACACCTGGTATGACGCCCCTTAGGCAATTGACTGAAAGGTCGACCCTGGCTCTACCCCTGGTCGAGTGACACCCCCTTGTAGACAGTTGACTGACAATCTTGGCTCTACCCCTGGTCTCCCCTCGCTTGAGCTGTCCAGGCCAGTGAGTGCTCCTTTGCTCACGCTCGCCGCTCCCGGGTCTGACGGCGCGGATTTGCTGACGGGATGCAAACTGCAGCTCCTCGTCGGCATGCGCCACTTTCAGGGTAGACTGCACAAAGACCGCGTTCACCACGTTCAGCAGTGCAAAACCTGGAGCTTCCATAGACAAGGCAAACAGGCAAAATCCGAGAAAAAGAGATGAGCTTTAGTATGTTGATGTATATTCGAGGAGGCCTCCGGATACCAAAACGACTCCAAATAGCGTTGCCATGAAACTGATAGGAAAACTTGCTGCCCTCGACGGAGAATGAATGGCATCTTCGCTGCAGCTGCATGTTGCATGCTCCCCGCCCGAAGCAAGTCTACAACGGGCGTTTGAGTTAAAACTGCAATGCAGCGAGCTCAAGGCTACCGACTGAGATGGGCAGACTTTGCACAGACGCAACACGAGCACAAACTACATTTGCATACTTTTTCCAAGCAAACTAGCTTGCCTTGGCAAGCCATGGATTTGCTGCTCCGTCACAGGTCTTGCCCGCTTCCTTACTCATGTCTGTCTCCACGATGCTATTGGAGTCGGATATGGTACAATTCGAAAGCAGGTCCTTTAATGCGAATTGCTTCCGTAGAATTTGTGGCAGCATGAACGACTCCCCAAATCCCCTTCCTGCCTAGAATGCAGCGGTAGAGCAAGAAGAAAGATGACCACCACTCGCTGATCTGAGTCGGCAAGAAGCTCAAAGCGCTATTCATAATCAGTTGCGCCTGTCTTCAAACCAGGATCCCCTGAAGATAAAGCATCGCGGTGGCTTTCGAGTACCACCACAACTAAATAAATCTAAAAAGCGGGACCCTGTTTTTTGGGAACACCCAGTCACGCAGTTTACCAATGCCCTCTTTCATGGTTGCGCCTCGTTTCGCTGCAGCTGACGCAACAGGGTCTGCAAAAACGAATTCAGCACGGCAACTGCGCCACGCTCAGCCACGCCAAGTGCACTCAAATATCAGTGTCCATCTAAACAAGCAAATAGCACTACATGGCATTAGTAGTTGATTGTAACGGAACTGACACCAGCGCCATCTTTCAACCAAACTGACCTTGCAAGCACACCCCTGGCTCACTTGCAGCTGAGGGGCGTGATCGGTGAGCACTCTGCAGGCTGGAGCCCAATTGGCAAAAAGCACTTCAAACATCGTCAAGAATGATGCCGAGAACGTGCCTTGGTCCGATCTGGCGCCCTCGTTCTCCAAAAATGGAGAACATTGGCCAAGCACGCCAACCCACAGGCTCTTAGCTGGTGTTTTGGATTGGTGCTTAGGCCTTAGCGATTTCAAGGAACCAGCGTCAAATCACTGCCGCTGGCTTGGAAATTGCAGCCAAGTTGCCGTAGTACCTTGCAAGGCCACAGTGCAAACGATCTTTGAGCATGGCGAGTCTGTGCAAAACCGCGCATAAAGGACAGCGCTATCAATTCGTGACGCCAGCCCGGCCTGAATACCGCCCTCCTGCTCTCCACAGAAATGGTATCAGCCTGCCCCTCCTCCTCAGCTATTGGCAAGCGCGGCACGGGCAGCGCAAACTTACTTTCAATGCTTGGGAATGTACACCCCCGTTTGAACTGTCCCTGGGGAAACACCTTCCTGCCCTGGAAACACAAGGTTTGCTTTTTTGGATCTGCACTAAACATTGACCAAGGGGAGGCAAAAGGTCAAAAGGTCTTGAAGTTTCAGGAGGGCCACGCCCACTTTGACTTAGGCGTTTGATGCCACGGCACACTGGCGATCTGAATGTGCAGGAGGTTACTCACAAAGAGTGCCGCAATCCCCTGAATGCACACCTCGGCACCGCAAACCCATGTTCCTTCTACTAACATGGCTACGGTTTATGCAGGGCTTCACCACACCACGTAGAATCAGCACCTCAAACGCCCAGTAGCTCTAAATAACTTTGTCCGGACCTTTGTTATGGGCCATTAACTGCGGAACTGCTCAGCATATATTGCCCTTATATACCACTTTGGTGCGTTGCCCCGGTTGGTTGGTCAGGATCACCTTGTTCTGCTTGACAACAGCAATCTTGAAAGGTCACAACTCCATGCGGACTGTTCCTGTCAAGCCCCCCAAATAGGCCACTTAAAGAACCCACCGGTACAAACAGTTTTTGGAATGGGCCCCTATGTGCGGAAGTGAGGTGTTTTGGGCCTTGGGTACCCTTTTTTTCTCAAACCAAACTTGCAGAATTGTGATGTTTTTGAAATTATTCCCCCTCACGCCGGCAAACCCCACAAATGCTGGCCCACATCCTGTGCACCCTGTGCTCTCTCCAGCCTGCGGCCTGGTTTATCAAGATCCCCTCTGACTGGAAAAGCTGGGAACTTGGAAGCTGGGTACGTGTCAACGAATCATTTATGCAAATGAAAGCCCTCTTTTGGCTCCAAAGGCTGTGCCGGACGCACCCGGAAGCATAGGGCGGACCATCCGCACAACAGCACTGCTGGCTGCCATACGAAAGCAAGCAAGAATCAGAACTTCAAATGCCGACATCGGCAGCAGCGCAAGTGACTGTCACAGAAGCTGAAGCGGGAAAAACACGACTCCGAACCATCCGCAGCCCATGAGCATTACATACCTCAAGGATAATATGTTTAGGTAACCCTCCAAATCATAGATCGAAATTGTGGTTTCAATTTCACCCCCCAATAGTAAGTTGGAGAACCCTCACACTGCTCACTTCCATGGGCCCAATGTCAATTTCATGGGGCGCCTAAGGGGACCGAAGCTACATGCAAACTGCCTGGCAGCAGCCACCCTACTTAAAGGGAGCGATCGGGTACCTAGTAAGTGGCTAGTAAGCCTATCATCCACTCAGGAGACTTGTGACCATTGTAAGTGGGTTCTAAGTTATTACCCTCTTGCCAAGTACCTGATCGCCCCTTTAAGTACAACCACCTCCCAAACCCTGCCCGTAACCTTGCGGGCTGAACCAGAAGGGCCAAATTTGCGGGTGGGGAAATTCCCTGCGGGGGACTTCCGTGCAGCTATGGCGCCAGCAAGCACATGGTCCACCACAGAATGACGCCGCCTCAGCGACAGCTTAGCTCTGGGCAACTGGCACGGCTGGATTCGGCCCGGGAGTTGGTCATGCTGTACTCTAAAGCTCCAGAGTCGCACCCATGTCGTGCCCGCCTTGGTCTTTCAGAGGAGTGCCCTCTTGCTGAAGGCCCAAGCGAGTGGCGCGAGTTTAGGGGTACGACAAGGGTAATTACCACCCTAGCCTTTATCAGCTCGGTGGGGTCTATTTTTCAAGATGTAAGCCACGGCGTTTCTACCTCCGGCAAGTTGATGGAACCCGCATTGCGTTGGGATTGGAGGCAAATCTTTGAGTGATCCAACTCCAGCACATACAATAAGATTGTATAATTTCCTAACAACTAAAACATGGGGATGTGGCCCCTACTTTAAGCCCGAATGAGGCTATGCCAGGCTGGGGCCCCGCGCTGGCCCGCAGGCATGACATGAGAAAGGCCAGAGACTCCAGCGACTCGGAGAGCCTCCGCAAGACATCGATCCGACTGGTGCTCTGTTCTGGCTCCTTGACATCTTCAAACTCAATGGCGGGTTTACACTAAACGGAAGAACCCATATTAACCAACCCCAGTTTATTAAAACTGGGGTGTGAACCTGGGTGACATGTGCAAAATGAGACCACTTTTGGAGGGGAACACCCACCTACTGATGAACTGGGGATGAATAATATGGGGTCAACCTTAAAGGAAAAACACCAAATCCAAAAGTGATTTTGAGAACCCCTGAATATGTTCACTTTCATGGACACAAGCGATGGGCTTTTGTGCAAAGGCTCTAGCACGTACTCCTAGAGTAGGGTCCCTTGATGTCTACCTCGTACATGACGCATTCAGGCGTATTTATCAATATACATATACACATTGATATATGATACGGTGTATATCTATGACCATATACTGGCCTCATTATATTACCATGATCAAAGTCACCCCTAAGTAGTGGGTTAAAGGGAAACAACGACATGTTCTGACTTTGATAGCCCTCAGAAACAGTCAAAATAATGACCCAGATATACCATCTGTGTAGCAGTACATTCTTGGTCGTTTCATGATGGGCCTTCACGCGCGCTGGAAGTTTCATTGGCCCCATGGATGCTTCCACGCCCCTTGCAGGTTCGGCAGCCACAACATATTCCCAAACAAGAAACTCATCACAGTCCCCTACGCTTGCTTGACCTTGGAAGGGGCAAACAAATATTTTATTTTATGTTTGCGCACCGCTAAACCACAAGACGCAACAATGTAAAATGTTTCCCAACCACAGCCATGCTCTTGGCAGCTGCAAACTGTCAGACATCGACAGTCGCAATCGCAAGCTCGAGCCTCACAACTTTGAGCGCCCGAACCAACTTGCCAAAGCGGAGGAGCCGCAAAAGCCTTGGCTCCGCCACTCGGTCATGTCAGCTTCCCTCGAAGTGGTGGCTTGGATTGGTGGCTGACATCCTCAGTACGGATATGGCACCACCCTACGTGGTACAAGTTGAAAAGCGCGCTTACAGGAAATCAGCGGAATAGGTATGAAAAATGCGCAAGCACGCACTCAACCTCAGCTTTTGCACCGGAACTATGAAAACTAGCTTGATTCTGGGCCAACTTTTGCGAACCATAGGGAAACAATTGCTGTTCTAAGTTCTAAGGGTACCTTCCCCATGCTTTCCAGGAATCCTTCTTTCTAGAAAACCTCCAAAATCCAAAAAAAAAAAAAAACGGCTGGTCATTTTGAAAAGAAACATGGTCGAAAAGACCCCAGAAAAACTCGGGAATTCCAGGAAAACGGCTGGTTCTTGAAAAGAATGGAACATCAGGCCCTAGAGCTGTACCCAGGTCCTCCAGTAGAGAGGCTAGAATAAGGGACCTTTTGCTTCTGTACACTGTAGTCTCTCTTTTAGTATAGGGGAAACCCTCCCCCAATTTTTTGTTCAAAGGGCACTACTGGGGGACCTAGTTCAAAGCTGGCTGAAGTGACAAGGCGCGTGGGCTTGAAAGGTATAAAGCTCGCGAAGAAGACCAGCCAGGAGCCGACCACCACCTCAGAAGGAACAAAAACACAGGAAACGAGGGGCTGGAAACGAGTGCCGACATGGGACTTGGGGTGGCAAAGCCAAGGTCTCTCCATGCAGAAATGGATTTTTTGTCTGGAAAAAAAGAATGTCCCTCCCAATTTTCAGGCTGGCTTTTGAGGCAAGGACACACTACGGAATCCGGGACCGGGACCCGACTATATGGCTGAATGCACCTATTCAAAGCAATTCTAGCAGGGGGTGGCAGTTGACATAAATCCATTGTGCGTGGATTTTGAGATCAATCCTCAGGCTTCTGAACAAAGGAACTGGACTCTCAAAGAAGGTTTCCTTCTAACGACATATGCAACGTTTTCATAGGACATATATATACATATAAACAGAACCGCTTTCCCCACTATTTCCACTGGGGTACTTAGTGTTTGGAGGATACTGGAAGCCATCTTAGACGATCTCCAGCAGATCCCAAGAACATTCCTCCCCCACTCCACCGTGCCGCGTGAAGAAAAAAAACAAAAACGCACAGCTTCCATGCGGAGAGCCGGTGCATTCGCGCAAAGCCTGCCGCCGAGCAGCGATGACGTCGATGTAATTTGTGATGCCACCTCTCCAGAAAAGCGACCTCAGCACGGAAAGGCCCTTTTCCAGCCCCTTGAGAGACTGGAAAGCGGCCCACAAAAAACGTTCAGGCCTGTTTTCAATTTGCTTTTTTCAGCTAGGCAGCCGCAGCACGGCGATACGGACCACAACGTCGATCCTTGCAAGTGACATTCACCATGACGCAGATTTGTCGCAAGTGCCATTGCAGAATGGCTCATAGCAGAATGGCGGCACCCGTGATTGCAAATTCCACGCCCCCTCGTGAGGGATGCTGTTAAGCACCGGTGCCACCCGGCATCCAAATGGGTTCGCACCAAGCTGCCATGCACACAGCGCATGCTACCATTCAGACAAGAGGCGTGAAAATCACCTCAGTGGAGTGATCTCGCACAAAACACTCAGCCATGCGCATGATGGTTTTTTCGTCAAGGTGCTGAGAAGGCGTAGTCAATGATCCGCAGGATTTCGTTGCCTGAGGCGCCAAGTCAGTGGATGCCAGTCGATACAACTCATCGAGCATGTTGGGAACACCTGATGTGCATACCTGAATCGAGCGAATACCCCAGATTTGGGATCACCCCAATTTAAATATCGTGAAACCTCCAGGTCTTTCGACTTCCAGTTTTCAAAGGTTTTCACCAGACATCACAAGCTGACACAAGCTGTCACCTGTCAAGACATCCTCAGGAACTACCCTTGCGGTTTGAAAGGAAACCACCTGGACCCAAACAATTCTAGGTCCAGTAGAGCGGTTTCAATAATGGTACCCTTTCTTCTGTAGTCTATTTTAGTACGGGAACCCTCCCCCAAAAAAAGGGTAAAGGGGCACTACTGGGGGACCTAGAATTTTGAGACCCCCTCAAAACCCCAGCCCACCATTTGAAGACTCAGTCCGATTCCATCCAAGGTGGCGACCCCAAGCCCATCGATCAGCAGCAGGCCGCAAGTAGGTGCCATACTGCAGGCGGTAACCCAGCCTCAGCATCCGCCTGTGGTCGCCCTGTGATACAAAAGTGGTTGATTAAAGCCACCAGAAGCTGGGCCGCAAATCACCTGAACTCAGGGCTCCTTTCGGGTGTGAGACTCTTTTACCGTTGCCTCCAGTGATGATTTGCTGGCCTTCCGCCTAACAGGAACCCAGAAATGAGCACAACACATTCACCCCAAAGCCCGACGGGCAGGCCACCCGCCTGGCAAGCTTTTGCCGAATCCCCACCTTTCCAAAATGGGAAATTTGGGTGTGCGATCGACCCGCAAATTACACTGACCGCAAACTGCTAATTCGCTCCAAGAATGTAGACGATACTTGGCTGTGGGTCAAAGCCCTGTACCCCTGGTGAACATCAAAATAGGTGACAAATGGATGTTCATCCACTCCAAGATGGGATCGTCATCGGTTATGCCCCATGGCCACTTCTCCTTTCGGTTTCAACGGGAATCCAAGTGGCTCCAGTCCATCGTACTGCAGCTCCGCCGCCATGCTGGCAACCTCAAGCGAGTCTTTGGACGCCCTTCGGGACGTGCTCCGTCTCCCCCCCGGTTCCCTTCGCGCGCGCCGGGGGGGTTTCTCTTTGAGAGGCGCAAAATCGGTTTCCTTTAAAGGGACATGGGCCAGCCTCCAAGCAAACCTGAAATTGCACAGGCGCCAGTTCGAAGACGGCGTTCCTTTTTTGGAAGGGGGGTTGGGCGCTTCCATGTTGGTGCCAGAAACTCGCCTTAAATGGACCAACCAGGTGATGTTGGGAGCGGCTGTTCCCAGGCCTCCCTGGCAAATTGGCTTGGTCAGCGGCAAATCGTAACCCTCCGTCTGCCATAGTGGGGCCCGCCACGGATTTTAAGGAAAGCCACGCTGGCAGAAGGAAGGAATGATTTTGAGCAACCCTGAGACACCCTCAAAATGAGACCAACCGATGGCATGACACACCCTCAAAATCTCTGCTTTCGCCCACCCCAGCCGAAGCCTGGGTTTCCTAAAGGCAAACAAGGATTGATTGAGGCGCGGGTTTATAAACTTGGCAACGCAAACAACTGCTGTTGTCTTTGTGTTGTCTTCCCTCACATGCAACATGAAAGATTTGCGTCTTTTCTCTATCTCAGAAGTGCAGAAGCCGCAATTTTGAAGTCTCTCACCCAAAGCAATCCGAAGTTGAGAGAGGCAAATCCGAAGTTGCGATAAAGAACAGGCCATTGGGCGCCAGCATTGCGGAAAACCAATGTGACAATAGGGATCATATATAGTCCCGTGACTACTTCACATTGACAGGGATTTCAACTTGGCATGCCCCAACTTGTCCCATTGAACTGGGCGCCCCGCGTTGAGACACAAAAACAATGCGAGGATGAGCTCGTACTTGTCCTTGCAAAACAAAGGTATTCGGCTTGCGCCCGCGGCACTTGACACTTGTCGGACCCTTTGCCATCCCTTGTCGGTTGCTGTCCTTGGCTGAAACTCAAGACCACACGACTGACACCCAACTTGCAACTTGGAATGACTTGCTCGTGAGTAGGGAATGAGATATGGAATGAACCAAGGGGTCCCCTTCAAGGAAACCACCAGTTTGGTTTCGTTTTTTTTTCCCCCCGCTCATTCCATTTCTCCAATGGAAAGTAGCAAGCCTGGATAGTAAATGGGAAATGCATGGGCTTAGAGATCCACCGATCGCAAGATGAACACCTGGAACGCGCTTGCATTCACATCAGCTTCCTTCCAACTGGTGATCTGGAACCCGGTCTGGTGGTGAAATCTTGGCTGACGTTGGAAGGGGAGCAACAATTTAAATGTTAGCAGTTAAGTGGGGACCACAATAAGCAAAAAGGTAAATTCTTTCCCAACAAAAACCATGAAATGAAGGAGTTTCCCATCTACCCTCTACAAGAGCCAGGGCAATCCCCAAACCCCCGGGCGCCAAACCGTCAAACCAACGCGTCACGTGACCAGCACTCACACGCGCCAGTCCGAAAGCAAAAACTTCTGGAGCTTCTGCCACTTGGTCTGCTTCGGTTCCTGCAGGCATCGGACAGGTCGGACCCACCCGGTCCGTTTCAGCGGTATTGGAAATGGCCTGGACATGGCTTCCCCTACCAAGGCGCCCTTTTTTTTAAAATGTACACATAGGCAGATGGAATGTGGACAAGTTTCATGTCTGGTGGTCCCTTTCTGGGGGTAATGGGTTTGACGTAGCTTGTGAGCCTTTCTAAACTTTTCTATCTGTGGAGTTGCAACCAAAGACTCGAACGGTTCACAAACCATTGGAACCATTTCTTTCGGGGGCCGTCCTACAGGGGGTTGATTGCTTCTTGTTTTGGAAACCGCCACACCAAAAAAAGAGGACAAGGGAAACCACCAAGGAGAACGGGACACATCCGTAAAATCTGCGGTTGTTGCGCTCCTGGTCTTGCGGGCTCGCGGGGAAGCTCTCGTTATTCAGGGCCTCTTGCCAGGTCCTGGCCAGGCCGAGCCCTTGAACCTTCCAGCCAAGAACTGGCCCTAGGAGCGGATCCCCGTCTAATCTAAGGGTTTTTGCATCACACCCTGGGATTACGCCCACTGGGAAATAATGACCCCATTTAGGTATGTGTCCGGTTCAACTGGTGTTATTTTGAACCAGTGTGGGTCATTTTCCATGGGGGTAATCCCAGGGTGACATACAACAAAAAATCCCTTAGATCCATGTTCCATGCAAAACTCCCCAAGGTGAAAAGAATAAACTTCAAGTCTCTGGGTGGTAATTGTGCAACACCCCTGGGGGAAGAACTTGGCACTTGCCACTGGGCTGCTTTGGGAGGGAACGTCAAAAACTTGGCTCTAAATGGAGTTCTACAAGCTGCACACGTGACTGTCTTTGGGCGATCCGCAGCTGCTTCTTAGAACCCCTCTAGACCCTCCTCAGCTTGGCAACCACCTCATCTAAGGGGTCCAGGCTAGATCCTGGTTCCAATTCCCTCAGAACCTCAACAAGTGAGGTTCAAACGAGATCCTCGATGGTTTTCTTTCGAACCGACCCCAAACAATGTGCCAACTAAACAGCCATAAATAACCCATAACCTCCCAAACAACCACTCAAAAAAAAACAAACTCCTAAACAACCACTAAAAGCACATAACTTCCAAAACATAAAAGCACAACATAATATACCAGAAACCACTACCCACATCCCCAACTTGGCCTCCAAACCCCCTTTCTAAACGCGCCGGGTGGGCAAGCGCGGCTCCGTCGTGGAGAGCTTGGGCATCTCAGGGAGCGGTTACAAAGGGTGCTACCTCCAAACCAGTTTGAGGCGAGAACATGTTGCCGTGCACATATATAAATATATATGCATATAGAGATACACACTTGAATCTATTCATGGTCCCCCCCCCCCGAAAACAAACAAAAACAACATACACCAGGAGTTGCCTGCGCATTTATTGGATGCTTTTGATACATATGCAAAAAATGTATCCTTCCAACAGACCGTCTGGCAGAAAAAAATCTCCGAGTCCTGATCTGCCAAAGCTTCCATCCGCTGAGGCCAGAACTGGAAAAAAACAAACTGAAACGAAGAAACAGAGATATACCCAGGTACCAGGTACTTGTCTCTCAGCCCAAAAGGCAAAACAATCAAACCAGCTGCAACTAGATCAAGAATAAGTGCGCCATGTGTGTATGTTGTGGTGTTACCCTTCCTCCATGGAAGATTCCCTTTGAAAAGACCCCCTGTCAGTTGCCATGTTAGTGGGAAGGAGGGTAAACAACAAGAACAAAAAAAGAAATACGACACCATGAGACACTGAACAACATCGCCCATCTGCTAGGGGAAAGGTCGGGCAGCTCCATCTCTGGTCAGAATCTGTCTTTTTGAGTTTGTTTCCATGCTTCAGTGTTATTCTGGGCAGGTGTCCCGATGTGTGGTGGCATACATGGGTGCAAGCAGCTGCACAATTACACAGAGAGAGAGAGAGAGAGCATATTTCTATTATACTGTTTGCACAATGTTCCAGCGAATGATCTAAGGAACTTCTGAGAGCAATATCGGTATATATTAATATTTGCGGATAATGTAGACACTTGAGGGAGATGTACTGCACTTCTGTGAGGAGATATCCTTTGCTAAGAGCTTGAGCTTCGGCTTCCTACGCAATTGGAAACATCAGCCATGCCAAAAGAAGGATCAATGAACTTGTTTCGCAATGTGTAAGGATTCGCTAGCACCTTACGGTCAGAAGAGAATTGCTGGTAAAGATGTGAATCATTTGCACACTCTTCCTGACCATCTTTGAGTCACCCCTTTTCAGCTGTTTGTTCATTATGTTCAGTTGATCTGACTTTGTTGCTGCAGTTACCCCGTGCTCCCGCTTGCTCCGCACTACTTCTTGCACCTCTCTCTGTTTCCTTCCCCGCCCTTTACGTCCTTCCGACGCTTTACCACGTCCCTCCCCAAGTTTCTCGTCGATTCCTCCTCTCAAAACTCTCTCCTGATTGTTCTCCCCAGGCTGGCGACTAGCACTGCACACCGGGATGCCAAACTGCGAGGCTCTGTGTGCGACCATTGGCCACTGCAAGACACTCCCGCATACACGCACGCCAACACACCTGCGAAGCACTCACACCATGCAACACGCGCGCGCTCACATGCCTCTACAACTCTTGGTACGGTAGAAACAAACGCTGCTTTTTGCAGGTCCCCCCCGCCCAGTGAAAATGAACAGAACCACAAAACCCCCATAAACAAACTTGCCAAGAACTGTGAACATGCACTTGCTTGTGTTTTCCTCCCACAACCAAAAACCAAGCTCGCTCGAGCTAAGGCTGGCTCCGGCTCGGGTTCCCGGTAGCGCACCTGGTCCTGAAAATGGCCGCGCTTCCAAAAGCAAAAGGACCTGACTCACTTCCTGAGTGAATGGGGCCAAAAAACGTCCAAACTTTTTGTTTGCCACTAAAATGTTCTTCCCAATAAGTTTAGAGTCCGGCAACTCAGGAAGTGAGCCAAGAGCTGAGCAAAGCCGGGTGGTCACCGCGTGCGCTTGTTCTTCTCCATGGCTAAGGGGTCACTTGGAATGGAAGGACCCCCAAAACCAAAGCATCGACATCGGGCAGCCAGCGGCGCGAAACGCCGCGCTGCTTTGGAAGTCTGCTGGATATAATGTTGATCACTGGCAACTCGGTTACCCATAGTACCCAGGAATCGAAGGTTCACCTTTTCTCCATGACGAAAAATGAACCCAACAGGGGAAACAGAAAGGTCATCAAAAGGTCGATTCGCTTTGGGCAAGAGGCAATCAAACGCCCCGATTGTGTATGGGATAGCTTAGCTGTATTCGAGAGGTCGTTAACGGCATTTTCCAGAAAACCTGGGCAAGTGGCGCGCGAGGGAAACGCGCGGGCGAGCGAGCGGGTGAACGTACGAGTGTGCGAGCGCACGCGCGAGTAGACGGACGAGTGGACGGACGAGTGCGCGGTTGGACGGACGGACGGACGGACGGACGGACGGACGCACGCACGGACGCGCGCGCGCGCACGCACGCACCCGTCCGTACAGAAATAAGGGCACTCGTCCGTCCACTCGCCCGTGCACTCGTCCGTCTACTCGTCCACTCGTCCGTCCACGCGCTCGTTGCTTTAAAAACACCCCGTACGCCCCACCTCGCGCGTTTTTGAGAATTATACGTTTACGAGTTCTTAAATTTAGCTAAGGGATAGCTGTGCGCTTCCATGCTTGGGCACCTGCAAAATCCTGCAAACCATCAGCCGGTCTGTGGCAGTCGAATCACCGTGCCTCCGGAAAGCTCCGTAGCCTCAGCGGAGCACAATTGATTTCGGACTGGGCTGTAGGAATTGCGCACTTTTGTGAGGAAGGGCCTTTCAGACGGCGTCTCAATGGTGAAGGCATTCTGGTATCACAGCAGTGGGCATCATACAGTAGCCTTTCGGCAGTCATCCACTCAACGACTCAGGAAAATGTAACGCTACTCGCCGAGAAGCACTTTCGCTGTCACGTGGATCATCGGCACATCCTGTGTGAGACCTGCTGCCGCCGCCCCCCAGCTCAGGGTTGCTAAATTGCTAGCGACTGGCTGACAAAGATTTGCCATCGCCAAAATGTGTCACAAAGAATCTCTGGGAAGTAAGGCTGATGGGACAAAGACTTGAGCTTCCCCGGAAAAAAAAAAAAAAAAAAAAAAAAAAAAAACGCACAATGCCAATATAAGAGTCATGGGTCTTACCACAAAAAGCCGGGCCAAACCCACCAGCCTTCCACTCTTCGGCAGCCCGAACAAACCGATGAACCCCGAGACGGCACCTGCAGTGGAGCCTGCGCCTTCCAGCCTTGGATGCGAGCCAACAAGAGGCTCGCCGTCCGGTGACCGGTGACCCAGGCAACCCATGGGGAACCCGCCATTTTCCTCGTTTTTGCGGGGGTTAACCAGCCACAAAGGTAGGGAACCTGCCGTTTACCTCAGTTCTTCATTTGTGGTTCCTTTGGTTACCACACAGACCTGGAATCACAGGCACAATGAAATGGTACCCAGCCATGTTGATCGTTTTTCATGGGTGGTTCCTTTGGCTATGGGAAACGGAACTGGGCAAGGGAACTCGCCTCTCGAAATATTCCCGGGAGAGTCTATGAGTTTTCAACTAAAGGCTTAATCAAACCTGCGGAAGCATTTGACCAGTGGCACAAAGCTTGGTGAGGCTTCTTCTCACCTGCTCCCAAGGAGTGTCAAGTAGGGGCTCTGAAAAAAACATAGCAGACTAATGCATGGGTCACTGCATTTCCCCTTCAGCTGCAATTGACTGGTGGTTTTCATTGAAACTTCCACAAGTTGGGGATTCCAAAAAGCGACATGAGAGGAAACCCTATGATAATCCCCTGGCCATGTGCCCTGACACCTTGCCAGCGAAGCGACAGCAACCAGCCGTCGAAGCCATCCGGCAGAATCTTTGCCGCCGGAAGCACCGCCTTGCCCAGCCTGCAGCTTGAACGAGGACTTCCCTGGAGCCCCAAAAAGTCTGAACGAACTTTCTGCTTGCCACTAAAATGGTATGATATGATCACCTAAATTTCAATGGTTGTAAAGCCCAGCCCCCTCCCCCCAATCTCAATAGAGGTTAATGGCGACTCATTGAGATCTATTAGGGGCTAATAGAGGTTCCTTTTGGGGACCATTTCTAGGGGGTCACCTCTTTGGGCCCCCCCTAACAGCATAGGATAATGAAAAGGCTGGTGAGGTATTGAAAGTTGCTCTTGAGTCATGATTGCAGAAAGAAGCTCTTTGCGAACCCTTAGCCCCTCATATTTGGAGCCCTAGGAATCACAGAGAGGGTCCCTTGAAAGAAGTGTGCATTCTGGCACGGCTACACAAGCCACGACATACGCAGCTTCTGGCTGGTCACTAACTATACATGAAGGAATGCATGCAGGGATAAGCGAATGTCTGACTAAATGACATCACATAGCATGGCGTGACATGGCATGACATGGCATGGCATGGCACGGCACGACATGGCATGAGTTCAAGTATAAACAAATGAAACAAAATGCATATGAACAAATACACATATGAACGAACGAACGAACCAACGAACCAACAAATGAATGAATGCAGGAATGAATGCATGAATGAATACATGAATGCATCAATGCGTGAATGCATGAATGCATGAATGAATGAATGAATGAATGAATGAATGAATGAATGAATGAATGAATGAATTCATGAATGCATGAATGAATGAATACATGAATGAATGAATGAATGAATGAATGAAATGGAATGACATTCAATTAATGAATAAATGCATGAACGCATGAAGGCATGAATGAATGACATGACATGACATGACATGAATGAATAAATGCATAAATGCATAAATGCATAAATGCATGAATGAATGAATGAATGAATGAATGAATGAATGAATGAATGAATGAATGAATGAATGAATGAATGAATGAATGAATGAATGAATGAATGCATGAAGGAATGACATGAAATGAATGAGTAAATGCATGAATGAATGCATGAATGAATGAATGAATGAATGAATGAATGAATGAGTGAATGAAATGAAATGAAATGAAATGACATGAAATGACATGAACTGACATGAGCTGAATGAATAAATGCATGAATGAATGAAATGACATGAACTGAAATTTTAGAAAAATATTAATGAAATGATAAATACATGCATGAATGAGTGAATGCATGGATGGATGGATGAATGCATGAATGCGTGCAGAAATGAAACAATGCATGGAGGCGTGGATGCATGTCCTTGTCTGTGAGCCTGTTTGCCCACCATGTCTGTGCGTCAATGTCTCTGTCTCTCTGTGTCTCTGTGTCTCTGTGTCTCTGTCTGTCCGTCGTCTGTCTGTCTGTCTGTCTGTCTGTCCGTCTGGCTGCCTGCTTTCCTGTCTCCCTGCCTGCCTGCCTGTCTCTCTGTCTGTCTGTCTGTCTGTCTGAGCTCCGTGCAGGAGTTCAGGCATGTATGTGTCCATGCATGCATTGTGTTGCATTCCATTGCCTTGCATTGCATTGGAATGCAATGTGTGTAATGCAATGTAGCGTAATGTTCTGCACATACATGTGCATGCATGTATGTATAGGTATACAGATGGAAGAATGGCAAGATGGATAGATCGATAGATACGTAGACAGACAAACAAATAGCTATAGGATAGCTAGGATAGATGGGATAGATATAAAGCTGCTTCAAAATCGCAGCGGCCCCAATCGTACAACTAGAACCATTGTGCAATGAAACAGCGACTTCTTTCACCGACCTCTCCTCCAGTCAGGGGACACCCCTGCCCTCAGTCAGCAAGCACTACTTTTGAAGTCAGGAACAGCTGGCGCGCAATAAAACAACATCTCGCCAGTTGTTGGCTGTTCAGTCTTTAAGTAGGTACGGCTTTTATTGGAAGGGGGAGCGGGTTAGATAGATAGCTAGAAAAATATATGTTTCCTAAACAATCTGTACAATATGAACAAACATATATATATATAATATTTACAATATACACAAGTATGTAATTATTATGCGGTGAAATTCTTTGTGGCCTTCAGTTTTCTTTGCACCAGAACACCTAGGTCTGATTCATGAATGCCCAAAAAGGCCAAGCTGCGAATCGCTGTTGTCGAAAAGGTCTTTGTCCCACACCGAGAAGACCAAGGCATCACCGGAGTAGAAATCCTGGCACGTGCTCAGCCCAAGCGCTTCTCACTGACTGGAGGTCGACAGTTGGGCCAGCATATCCCAAAACCCGAAGTACGGATCGTTGCCCCCCTGCTCCCGGAGATCTCGCCATAGAATGGGCAGTTGTTTCGACCCATTCAGGAAAACAACATACAAGAGGCCCGGCCAAAAGCAGCACAGAGTTCCTAACATGCAGCCGGGAGTCCGAGATCACTGCTCCCACGTCCCACCTCGGATGATTGCGGGATCCTCCAAATTCTGAAAGAAAGCCAACCAGGCCTCTCGCCCCAAACTTCTGCCCCCAACATAGCCCACAGGTTGCTTCATGACAACCACTTGGGGAGTTGTGTGGCGACTTCAGGTCTGAATGCCTCAGGCCCCCGCGAAGGATTCAGATCCTCAGATTTTCGCATCTGATCGCAGCTTCGGATCGGCCCCCAAGGGGCGCCCGTCGTCTTTGGCGGGTGAACGCTGCAATGCCGCAGCCCAAAAACACATTGTTTTTCAATGATTCCAAAGCCTGAACTACGGCAACCCTAAAGTAAAAAACACAACTCTCGCATGGTGAGACCCAGGTGAGCTCGCCATAATTTATGACCATGGACCCTTCGAACCTGGACACATTTCAACACGGGCATAGGACTACAGGGGGCCCAGTCCAAGGTCGGTCTGGACGACTTGTGCCGAGTCTCGTCGTTGGCCACCGAGGTTCGAAAAGTTGACCGGCCTCTGCCTCGGCGTGCGACAGCAGCGAAGTGGCTGGAAGCACGCAAGCACGGCAATCCATCGCAAGTGAACGGAAGGTGCAAGCAAAGTTTCAAAGCGAGCAGCCAAAAGGCTGCGACATAGGAACACATGGACTCCCGAAATGCCACACAGAGGTGCGCCACACAAAGGTGCGCCACACAGAGGTGTAGGTGCTTCAAATTCGGAAGTCACAGAGGTGCGCTTCAAATTTGGAAGTCACGGAGTCACGGCTGGACTTGGCCAATTCGCGGGCTTCAGGTGGCCTAAAGCTCAGGCCCCCGCCCTCAATGCTGCACTCGCAGTATGGGTCCGAGACACCTGGCGCAAGGTACGTCAGCCAGGGATTCGCGAGCTGGGCATCGATTCGATGCCGGCAAAAGAATCGGACCAAAGATGTTGCAAACACGCAGCACGAACAGAGATCCCGATGTTCGTCGTACGGTTTGTCACATATGCCCTGCAGTTCCGAACCATCCACCGACTCGGCACCGTCAACACAGCCCGTCTGCCAGTGCAGCTCCTTCTGAGCGCCAGTTCGAAGCATCCAAGGTCCCATACTATGCGAGGCTTGAGTAAGGGTGCCGGTAAGCCGATCAACTACGCCGCACTGCTACCTCCTCCCCGTTCGGCAGTTCTTTCAAAGCAAGCCAATGCAAAGCCAATCCGAGAAAACGCCTCTCAGGGCAAGACCAACTGGAAATAAGGAGGTGCTTAGTACTCTCATCCACCAACTGGAAATAAGGTCCTTGAATGAAAAAACTTGCTTCCCCCGCACGCGAGCTCGTTGAAACAAATGCCCGAAGGCCCTAGTGGATGCACCTGGCTCTTCACCCGTTGCCCTCCCCGCCTGACACGATGTCGGCATTCCTCAGGCCTGGCTTTGGGCGTTTCCTTAGGACCCCTAAGTTAGGGCCTAAACCCAAAAGGGGCTGGCCTAGAAGGCACCAGCAGGCACACCTTGACCTATCTATTCTTTCCACAAGCCGGAAAGGATTTATGGAACAGGGGCGAACGGGGGTTCTGAGCCCGCTTTGATTGACAGCTCGGGTGCTTCTTGTTGAAGCACTTGGTCTCAAGGGCAAGAACGTCGTGCCAAGGGCGTGCTCCGCCGATCCTTTCCCTCCAATCCTCCACGAAAAACCGACAGACCTGTCTCCAAAACCATGAATGTAGACAGGAAAGTGGTCTTCCAAAACCTCCTGCTAAATGTTCATGATTGTTGGAGTGAGGGTAGCATGCCAAAACGGCGAGTTTCTCTTTACCTTTTGAGCATACAGCAAAAAGGATGTCCAACTTTGTGTGTCCATTTGGGGTTCAACCTCCGGAATTGCCAGCTTCATTTGGAATTCCGCTTGAAACTTCTGAAAAGAAGAACCCGAAAAAACACAAAACACATTTCGGGTGGCTCAAAATTAAACAGGAGGGGTTACGCAGGTTTTGGTCCATGTTTCCACTTACCAGGGTTCCATTTTGGTACCGCTTTTTTGAGCCACAGCCTGTTGCTCCCAACGGCTATCACATGGCCTCTTGAGTCACCTCCTTTCTGGCAGGGAATTCCGAGGTGGCTAGCGAGTCCAAGCGCGCCTCGCGCTTTCCACATCGTCACCTTGGCGCGATCCAGCCTCGGGCCTCTCCCCTTAAAGGAAACCCTGCAGTTCAAGCCACCATTGAAGCAATGGGGGTTCATATAACCGCCATTGTTTACCTAAGGATTGTCATCATAATTCGGTCAACCATTCTTTTAGTGGGGGTTGAACCCTAGGGGAAACCTAGTACATCTATATAAAAAGAACCAAAGGGAGATCGGGATATCCAATGTTCAGAAACGCCAAGCTTGTGGATGTAGGAATCACTCCAACCTGTCCCCCCTCTTCGTGTTCGTGACGAGCCCTTGGGCAAAAGCAAACTGCATACATTCTCTCTATGAAGCAAAGCCAACACCTGGAGTTTCTCAGAAGCCCAGTGCCCATAGGAAAAGCAAACACCTTCTTATGGTGCTTGATTCAACGAGAACCCCCTACAAGAAAAAAGGGAACTAGGCATTGTGTCTGGAGCCCGTGCCCTTGCGCGGGAGTTGCCTCGATCGATTCTGAGCTCTGCGCATCTAGCTCGTAGGCTTTTGGACCCTGACAAGAATGCAAAGCACATGAGCAACGGCATGCTCACTTCCAAGACCACAGTGTGGGCTTCCCCAAAAAGTGCCAAAGTCCAACTCGGGAAGTGAGCATGGCAATGGATTTCTTCGCGAACCCCCCATGTCGAGCTGTTGTAGGAGGGGGCCATGATGCGAGAGAAGCTCCTTGACTTCATCATGTTTCTATCAACTACATCTGCACTTGCAAGTTCCCCTGCTATGAAGCGCGAGTTCCTTTTGATGACGCGGTGCACGCGGCCTTCACATCCAACCCGCTCGAACCTATAGTGAGACCAGTTATTATTTTTTTTGTTGCATCATTTTTGCCAACCCTAAAACAAGTCAAATTTTGTGAGGAGACTCCAGACATCTCAGTACAGCCAGGAGGACCGCTGCGCAGGCTGCTTGGGCTGCGGCATGATACCGCGCTTCTGCGCACCGAATTGGTCCACTGGATATGGCAGCGATGCGGCCTCGAACTCGGGATATCCGTGGGAGACCCCAGCATGAACAGCGTGCAGCTGATGCATCTGGGCTTTCTTCACGGCATTCCCGATCTTCTCCAACAGGTGGCCTAGAGTCAGGACTTGGGCCAAGTGGCATGTTGGGAGGGAGCATGGCGCAACTGCCAAAATAACACGATCCTTTCTGTAGCGTGGCCAACCAGATCCGACCAAACCGAAATTCACTTTGCCGTGAGCGGAAGGCTTGCTGAGCTTCAGGGCCTTCTCTGAACCTCCAGGAACCCAATGGAAAACCAAAGGGGCAAACCCAAACCGGTCACAAGGGCTGCTTTAAGACCAAATTGACTTGGCAAGCGAGTGCTCCATCCAGTCGGAAGTTCCTTTTCAGGTGTCCCTACGATCAATCCGCCGGCATCTGCCGCCGCAAGTCGCGCGTGGAGAATGGCGCCGCGGATGGTAGGCACGGTAGGGATGGTAAAGAGGGTAGGGGTTTTCTCGGGTCTGGAATGAATCTTTTGCTGGATTTCAGAGCATGTTGGGCTCGAAATCTAGGGGTCGCACAAGCCAGATGTTTACGCTCGCTTTCATCTCCAGGGGTGCCTCAGTGAGGTCCGTCGGGAGAGTCGGCATTTTGCTTCGCTCCGTAACCAACAAAGAAGACATGAAGGGTATGAGGCAAGGTATGAGCATTGTGCACAAACTATTATTACACCTCTCGCCGGTTCTCAGCGCATAATAACTATTGGCGAACATTGTATAGCTCTGTATCACAAATAGCTCAACGCCATGCCTAATTTCCAATTTGATTCGTGTCCCTGTTGTACTTTGCCTCATCATTGGAGAAACAAGCAGGAGTTTGTTCTGTGCAAAACGGATGCCGGTAAAACAAAGGACAATGCAAACAAACTAACAACGCAAAAAGTCAGGCAGCTAGGCTAAGCCTGGCAATGTTAAAACGGTTCGTGGCACCGAAGTGAAGGGTTGCATCTAAAATATATGCATATAGTTCACCAGGGTAAATTGATCCTGGGTTTGTATTGGCGATTATTGGCGCGTATGACTGATACCCAGGTATGCTTGTTGAAAAGGAACGTGGAAGGAAGCATATAGGATTCCCTGTAAATTAAGGCAACCTGCCCTGACTAATTACCAGCCAGCAATTTGCTAATGCTGAATTCGAATCAGCCATGGGTGGGGTTCCAGCTTTCCGTGTCCTTTCGGTTTGCCTTTCGTTCCAAAAAGCATGGGCCTGCGGGCTTTTCTTGCTCCTCCTGCGTCAGCAGGGCGTCCAGGTGTCGATATCTGGCCTCCACTTGGCGCTGGCTTTCCAGCGATCCGTGCAGCTCCACAACCTCCTCCTGGAGCAACCGGATCGCCTGCTCCTGCAACCCCATGGGGAAGACCAAGTGTTCCAAGGCAGAAACACTTATTTGGTCATCTTGGCCCATCGGGACCCCCACAGAAACCATGTCCAAGGCCAAACACCAAAAACAAAAAAAACACGTTTTGGTGGATCTTGCCGCCGGAAAAGAACCCGCGACGCTGGTGCGCCGAGGGCTCGCAAGTGGCAAACCACCCCGCTTCTGTCCCCCCGCCTTGAGCCGCAGCAGGCCCCGCAGGTCTTCCAGGGAGAGGCTCTCCTGCGGCCATCTGCCGGGTCGACACAGAAGCTGAGGATTAATTACCACACCACGGGCACATGAAGGGGCAGGGTACTCAAGCAGTGGCTTCTGACCATGGGAAATTTAACCCATCAAAGCCATGGTTGTATGTCCACAGCGGGCTATATCCACGCTGGACCAATCCCCTCCCCCGTTTTTTCCTGCCTTACCGCATTCGAGTGAATTATTTCGGCCGAAAACAGCAATCTGTCCATTGGTGGTCCAGGTGCCGGCACTCTCAAAATGAACCCCCCTATGCTATTTGGAATAAGGAAACCACAAGGAAACCACAAGGAAACCACAAGCAAACCACAAGCAAGCCACAAATTGGACCACCCCATGTTTGCTTGGACTTTGAAAGCGGAAGCCATGAGAACCCCCCCCATTCTCGCCTGTGGGTCGGCCTTCTTCCAGGCGCGGGCTTGGGACCGCGGGGACCGGTTCGAGTTCGAGGGCGACCGGGCCGAAGGGGATTGTGACCTCAAGGAGCTCTTGGGGGAGCCCAGGAGGTACTCGCTGGGCAGCTCCGGCTGACTCATCAGCCGCAACAAGCTTTTGCGAAAGAATCCGCGGAAGTTCGAAGTGTTGCGCAGCCGCAACCACCGGCCCGTGCAAGGAACGAACTGGAGCTGCTGAAGCGGTTCTTTGACTTGGCGGTTGGGATGTGTGTTTGCTTGTGGTCTGGGTGCGTGCTGTCCAACCAAACCTGGTGTGACGGGCAAATGTCATGCTTTCTCAGCTAGTGAAACGTCACATTTAAGCCCAATGTGCCTTCACCCATCGTCTGAGATGCAAAATGCCGCGTGCAACACATGGTCGCCTTCCTATGAAGCTCAGAATGAGCGATCGAAGTACCATGAAGCAGGCACTCCACCACATTGGGTGAAAGGTTTAGTGACCCACCCTGACTTACCAAAATGGAAACTGCATCGTCTACGTCACCCACTCCAAGAGCGCCTCAGAGCGATGGTTCAGTGCCAGTTCGCGATCCTCTTGCGTCACCTCAGGTCCACGTCGCACAGCTTGGCTCAAGCGGCCTGCCGAAAACCAAGAGAGATGTTGATGCTTGCTGTTAATATATTGTACCGATGGTTTTTAAGGGAAACAAATGGAGAACCACTCATTTTAAGGGTCCCCTAGTTTAAGACACACCCATGTTTCATCCCTGCCTTTCTGGGCACAGGAGAATCGCATATGCCTTGGTCTGCCTTCATATCTAGGCTTCTGTCCTCAGGGTGACAGCCATGTATATAAGTCCACTGGCCCACCCCGGGTAAGCGCGCACTCCCAGGCCCAGTCTGGTCTCAATCACAGGCTGTGCCCGCGGCGATTTGCAGCACCGTGGGCTCCTGGGAAACCTCATATTCCGCGGCGTCCTGCATTGACCCCGCGCAAAGTCACCCCAAGCCTTGAAATCAAGGGAAACTCCGGCGTCCAGTTTTTTTTGGGGGGGTTTGCGTGGCCAGTTGTTAAAAAACCATAAATGGGTGTCCCAACACAAAGGTCGCCTCAGCCTAGAATGGCTTCTTCAAAGGGTTCTGAGAATGATTCTGGTGGGTGTGGGGGCTCTGATGTGCTTTTTTGTGCACCATCCAAACAAAATCCCTGTGGCTTTGGATTCTTCGATAAGTGGATGGTCACCCTGACACGAACGTGGAACTGGACGGTCTCTTGCTTCCAGAACAAAGCATGAGAAAGGGTCTGTGCGCTTCCATAGTTGTTTGAGATACCCCGCCGTTACAGTAACCACTGCGTGATTCTCACAGGTGTTCAACAGCTGGGAGCCCGTTGGTTCCGGGCAAACAATAGGAAGTAATCATCATGGACCTTCAAGGGGGGCTATGGCGAGTGAAGGGCTATCACCTACTGAACCCAAATTAGTGCCTTCCTTATTGACTATCTCTGGCGTATCCTAGGCTTAGATAGGGATGCCAGGATGCCTTGCAGGTCCATGAATAAACATTGGGCAGGGCAATGCTGGGGCAGGGAAGAGCGTTGCACATCCGTCGGGTGCCCGCCTTGGTACAGCCAGCGCAGAAGACCGCGTCAGGTTTTCTGATCAGTTCCTGCGAATCTCCACGCGCAAACTCAAAGTCCTGGATCCCAACTGATCAATGCGTTTCCTTTGCACTAGCATGGCCTTGCGAATCGGCAGGGGCCCAGTCTGAAACCTTGCGGAACCAGAAAGGGTACTTCCGTAAAGCTCCGCCTGCGTGCCGCCATTCAGTCCCTTCACGCCCTTGAGGCTGGGGGAGCCAACTGCCGCGTACCTTGGGCAAGTGAGGCTCCGGGGCGAGGGGGACGGTTCCGAACACGACCCATTTCCTGTCTCTCCCTCTCTTTCTGTCGCATGGGAATCAACAATCCATTTAGCTTGCTTGCTGTTGACCACCCTGCAAGAAGTTTTATTTCTTGGGGGTTTAGTGAAAAAACCCGTCTACATACAAAGATCCAACCCAATAGCAGCCAAGTATTTAGCCAGTGACCCACAGCAACCAATCCTGAGGCACCCGCGCGGCCTGCGAGGCATCGAAAAGTAGGTTGCGCAAGTCAGCCTGCAAGAAATCACAGGGCCTCCCGTAGCTGCTGATAGCTGCTGATTCACAAGCTGTCGTTGAGTGCCGCAAAGGGGTTGCGAATTTCGCAGGGTAAGAAGGGTAAAGGATACATCCCAAAAGCCACCTGCTTTATAAGGAAGGGGATCCTTTTAATCAACTGACCAAGGTGATGTTCATTTAATTTGCAACTGGACCACATATAACCTTCAAAGGGTCCTGGTAAAGAAACCCAACCTTGGCATTTTTTGGGCTGTACCCCTACGAAACATGTCTCAAAGTAGTACGGTGAGTAGCTTCAAGTGGCCCACCCAGTCCCAACGTCCTTTTGGCTTCCCTTCAATGCCGGGTCCATTTTGAGAAAGCCCCGCCTCTCGAAAAGATGGTGAAAACGTCCAAAGAAACCGACAATTTGCAGCTCGCAAACAAACGTGTATGCCTAACAAAAGTCCAAACCAAACCCTTCAGTCGAGTGCGGATTCGGAACGCGAACGCGCTTTCGCACGGCGAAAGCTTTCACGCCTGTTCTTGCACCACCCGCTCATATTCCCGCGTCAGGCCTGGCAGGCACGAGCAGCGCTTCCAACGGCGAATGCGACCTTCGGCAGTTGATATATATATATGGGTGTGGCTCAAAATAGAAAAGCTAGGGTTACGCAGGTTTAGTCTTTGGTTCCATTTACGAAGGTGCCACTTTGGTACATTGTTTTCAGCCGCAGCCTATCCTTTCAAGGTTGTGAGCCAGGGACGCAACGCAACTATAGGGACACAATGCAATGTGTGGCTCGCGTAGTCGGAGACAACATGTACCAAAGAACAAATCCGAGTTCTCTATTTGTCCCCGAGATGCGCCCCCCTGAGCATCAGACCCCATCGAGGGGCCTGCAAATGTCCCTTTCGCTGCTCTTTCGCGTACCGTGCTCGTTCCAATCGCCGGCTTTTCGCGATGCCTGCTTTTCTTTCGCGGACCCTTCAGGACCCCCCTCAGTAAAGCCCCCCCTTTTGGGCAAGCTTGCGCAAACACAAAACCAGAGAGTGATGCGCTGCATCACAAAACCACCACAAAACCAATCAAACGCACTGAATCACAGAACGAACCCCATTAAGCTCCATAGTTCGGAGGTCAGAGCTTCCTACTCGCCTGCCAAGTGCTCGTAGAAGGCCCGCTGTTCTCTGGCCATGGCACGAGATGGCCGTCAGCGCCGCTTGCGCGCTAGAAGGCTCGAGCAGCGCGCGCGCGGGATGGGCTGGAATTGGGGGCCTGGACCCTTTCGTCAGAGATCTATGAGCACTGAGCACCATGGTCCCCTTCACAGTGAAACCGCCGCGGGGCCCAAGACGTGAAAAACCCCTGGTTTCCAAACGACTTGTGAGGGCAAGCCCCCGAATTTCCAGGGGAAGCCGACATCCCCTCATGAGGTTTGGGAGAAAATAAACAACCACCCGATGAGTCCATGCTTGGGAATTTATATCACCAAGTTTTCCATATGTCCATCGGTGTACATTGTCCATATGACTTTCTGTCAGCGCATATATCTTGGTTGACGTTGGAAGGGGAGCAACAGTTTAATTTTAGTAGTTACAAGTGGGGATTTCCACTAAGCCACAATATCTTCCTTTGACATTTTGATTTGGGAAGGACCGACTCTGTCTGGGCCTTCAGGTGCGCCCGGTACGATGAGCACATCTAAGCAGCGCTCGGCTGGTGCCGCGGGCAATGCGGCTGAACATCAGGCCGATCATGAGGGCGTTCTGTATCTGCAGCATCGGCAGTGACAAAGGGGTCCGTTTCACTTGGTAGCCAGAAGCATGATTCACCCCTAACAGCCTAGTGCGTCGGCCTTGTTTTTCCGGCCGGTCTACCGCCTTTGGTTGGGCCAAAGATGGTCAAAGGCAGGAAGAAAGGGGTCCAGTGGGTCAGTGCGGGTTCAGGTGTAGTTGCCTGCTCCCGAGTGCACACTGAGGACAGCGCCTGCATGAAAAGCGTGTGCATGTAAATGATGAACACGCCGCTGGCACATCCGCCCCTGACAAAGACCCAAGGATTGCTCTAGCCTCAGGTTAATGCATTGTGGGGAGTCTGGATGCCACAAATAAGAGGTCTGAACAACAACACGGGAATTATTGATCCTGTTGGTCTGCTTTGGGGAAATCAACCACGGGTCATTTCTCGGCCAGGCATCCCTGCTTCTGAATCCGAGCCATGCCTCGCTCCAGCCGACTTCATGTATGGGGACCTCAGCACGCCCCACTGTTCCAACTGGTGCGCCGAAGCCGCATGGGGAAACTACCGGACAATGCGGATCAATAGGGGGAAAAATAGGTGCCACCGAACAACTGGGAAGCTGCGCAAGAAGCCGCAAGCATTTTTTGCTTGCCAAGAGGCGTCGCATCACCTCCCTGGGTCCCAACTGCTTTACCAGCTGCACCACTGAGCAATCCCCGCATTACTTTTCTTCCGAGGCCAAAATATAGCAAGTCCAACATTGTAGTAGGGGAGTGGGGGCTGCAAATGTCATGTCATAGTGCGTGCTGCACTATTGAGCCACCCCCCGCTTTTTTCGTGGAGAAAGCGCTGGCAGGTCCCATGGCTGTCCTCCGGTCGCCAAATCCCCCTGGGGCTGCGACCCAGGAAAGCCCCAGCCGATGGTGGTGCCCACCTGGCTGTGGCCCTTGATGTCCGCTGGCTAGCTGCTGGCACGAGCGCGCCTCCAGGCTGAGGTACATGGCGTCCAGCAGGGACTCGATCCTCGGCCCCGGAGAAAATCCTGAGGTTTTGTGTGACAGCTGCGCGCTGATGAGCCAAAATGTGGAGGTTCGTTCCCCAAGACATCCGGAGACCTGAGTTTCACAATGACACCCCTCCCTTCACCCCAAGCCCTGCTGTCAGGGAGCCGCAGGTCACAGGAGGAATCCACCATGTAGTAAATCCTTGGCCAATGGACATCCCAACCAGCAGCTCTCTCCCCTCTCGTCAGCCGCGTGGGGCCAAGCAAATGGGACCCTGGGGCCGGCACAGGGCGAAGACCAAATGGGTAAAGAGGTAGCTGGCCTCCCGCTGGCGTCAAATGACTCAGTTCTGCTGGCCCTCGTGTCACCAAACAGTGCAAAGGCAGAAGGCCACACAGACCAGGAAGCCAGGATCACTGAAAAACCACTCTTTTGTCCACTTCCCTGGAAAAACTGGAAACCCAGGCAGGAGAACTGAAAACCACTCTATACAGGCCACTTCCTGTGAAACAAAAACTGGCAAAAACCGCACATCGGTACACGTTGAACCACATCGGCCGTTTGGCAGTCTGCCGAGATGCGCAAAAGAAGCCGATGAGCTTGAAGGTGCTCTGATGGATGACCTTTTGGCAGGCAAATGTCAGAAGCAGCCCCAAAGATTTGCCCCGGGTGTAGAACTGCTAAGGTGGTTGTCCCTTGTTGTTGTTGTTGTTTCCGAAGCGGGTGAGCCAAAATGGAAAGCTGAATGATTTCCGCCCATTCTTTGGTTTCAAGCGCCGTTTTAGGCTCATCCAACCTTCACCTCAAGCCTTCCCCCAGCGCCCGGCTGAGTGGAATGGGTCCGCCCAGAACGACGTCCACCTCAGGTGAGTGGGGCCAAACCGTCCAAAAGACCCAAAAGCATCTGCATCAGCTTCACGGCCCTCCTAAGGGATGTCCCTCCCTATAACTACAAATGAATTGGATAATAAAAACAAAGCTGAGACTGATCCAAAAAATGGCCGAACTGGCCAAACCAGGTAATGTTTGAATCGCCCTTAAGGGACGTGCATCGACATGCGAACTGCGTCTGAGAACCGCACCCCGAGTGCTTGGCATTGCGCACCCGCTGCAGGGTGATGCGGCCTGGCGAACACGGCGATTGACCTGTTTCTGGGCTTGGGCGATTCAATGCGATCCACCCTGAGGTTTGGACAATTCACCGAGTTTTGGCGGTTTCTCTGTCCCTAAATGCTGGGTAGATCAAGGCCCGGTAGAAGAGGAATCTGCATTTGGGGCGTTCGGTTTGCAGTCTGTATGGGTTTTTGGGGCACCCTGTGCGGAAGCCGCTTGCATGCACAAGGAAGCCACCCGCCGGTCCCGTGGCGGATTTTTGGCTGTATGCCTGCATGGTCACAGCAGCTGTCAGGGATGTGCCCAGTTCAGCGTTGCCAAAAGGAAGAGTAAACCAGAATCTGCACGCGCAAACGCCTGAGCACTTCCAATCATAAATCCAGGGTAAGCTGATCAAACATTTTCAAGCCAAGGCTGCCAAAGCAACACTGCCTCTCAAAATGGTCCATCAAAGCATGCCTTCCAAAAAAAGGGGACCACCTTTTCCTGGTTTTGGGGGGGGGGGGTTGGATTCTCTTGGCTTCCCTTGGCTTTCTTGCAGCCAAGCGCAATGCTTGGACCCTGCAAAATGCCCACGTGCCACGGCCACGAACTGCCTGTGCTCAGCCGGGAAATCCGGTCGCGCTCGATAAAGCGAGTCACCTGCGAGCGCAACAAAAATGCGTGGCCATTGACTGGGCTCCTGAAGGGGACCAGTCCGGCTTTTCAACTCCCCACCTGTCTGTTGGGCCTATCGGCCAAACGGTGTTTCGCCCAGATCACCTGTCAATCAACGCAAGGGCTCACTACCAAATAATTAGCCCTTCCAAATGATTGGTTTCCTTTTGGCTCACTGCCGGAAGCAACTATAACAGGGCTTTCCACAATGGACATAACCATTTGTGCACATGGCTACAAGGCACGACGTAAGGAACAACCTCACACAAATGGGCCCGGAATACACAACACATGTTGTGCTACTACTGCTGTGCTACCATGCAAACATCACGCAACTTCTGCAACACCCGACCATACTCGTCTGCACATACCCTCACACACACAAACACCGAGTTCCATCCTACATACCAGTGTGCCATGAAGAGAACACGGCCGGCTTCTATGTGGTCACGTGTAGCAGTTCCTCGCGCTGGCTCAAGGCAATCGCAAGCCAACCTCCTGCAAAGGATTGACCAAACACCCTGGACATCTCGATGTATATATATATATGTGTGTTTTCTATATGTATATATATATATAATATGAAGGTTGTCCAATATTCCTTGCTCCAAAAATCGCCTTCCGCCTCGCCCTTCCGCGAACTTCCGCGATGGAGGTAGAACCACACGTTCTGATACGTGTCTGAACATAAGTAAGTTTCCGTAAAGTAAAAGTAAAGCAAGCCAAGAGGAAGAGCTAGTGCAGAAAGCAAGAAGAAGACTAGGAATGCAGCGAGGATTGGACGAAGAGCAAAACGAGCAAAAGGAAGTAGGACAAGCAAACGTAGGAAGCGGAGCAGCAGAACACCGGAGAAAGAAAAGGAAGGAGGAACGTGGCAACAAGCGACAAGCTACGCTATGTAAAGAGACTAGACACCCCCCGCGCACGGCGACAGCCACAGTTGCGGGGGCTTCGTTTTGGTATCGTTTTGGGTATCGTTTTGAGCATGCTACAACTGCGGCGTCCCCGGGCGAGAGAATGAGCAGCAGCACTGGGAAACAAACACAAGCGACTTTTCACGCTAAAACAAGAGACGGGTGGGCCAGCCCCGGCGCAAGGCGACAGCTGCAATTGTATGGGTTTCGTTTTGGCATCGTTTTGTGTATCGTTTGGAGCTCAGAATGTAATGCCGGAACGAAAAACAATTTCGGACCGCGAATTTTGCTTTTCGCGCTTTTCTGCAAACTCTGCCGCGGGAATCAGAAGGACCGCCGAATATGATGCCAGACTCGGTAGATCAGTTGGCCCAGGCACTCCGCGGCATCGTTTCGGAATTGCGCAGGCATCGCTCGGGGTATCGTTTTGATCTCAGTACAAATCAACACATGAAGCACACTTTGACTTTGACAGCCCAGCTGAAACATCGCAGCTTTTAAGTACTAGCAGAGCACGAGCTGTCCCAGCTCAAGCAGCACAACTTTTCAGTACTCGTGTAGTACAAGAGTAAAGCTTCATCCCATGATAACACATAACCTTCCGCGAAACTTCCGCTCGCCCTTCCGCGGTCTTCCGCGACCACAGCGCCGTAACACCGAATATGCTTTCGTATTCAGTCCTTACAAAAAAACCATAGGGGGGTTTGGTCGATCCTCATATATATGTGTGTATGTATCATCACATGGACCACGGGAAACACAAGGTCTGCTCGGCTTGGTGAGTGTGGCAACTGCTGCGCCTGCCTGGGATGAAGGCTCCAAATGAGCGTCCAAGCTTTGTTGGACCATCTGCATCAATGTGCTTCGAATCGATGCTGCAATCGGAGAGGCTGAGAAATTACCTACTCACTCACTCACTTACTTACTCGTGGGCAAAAACTGAACAATTACTTTTTACTGCAGCAATGAAATCAAGTTAGGCCCTGTGAACGGAAAGGCTGAAATACCCTGCAACCAATCCCAAGCCCCTGAAATCACTTTGGGATCTTGTGGAAAAGGAAACTCCTGTTGGTATGTTGGGTCTGCCAAAAGGCCAGCTGCTCCCCTTCAACTGCTTGCCTGCATGGTCTGTGCTCATAGATTGACACATATCCGCAGCACATGCTTGCAGGAGTGCTACCCACTGCAGGCGGAGCTGAATTCTGTATGTGAGCACATGTACGTGTATACATGTTCATTTGAGGTGGCACATCTTTGAGCCGCAAGTCAGCTACACGCCCGTGCAACATTCCAGGTGAGCGTGCTTTGACCGGGCATCGACAACAATCTGGAGCTCTTTTACTTAACTCAATTACTAATTGCAACAAATCAGCAGAACATAAGAGTTTCCAATAAAAGGAGCCTTACATCCACCCCAACATGATCCGGATACAGGCAAAACTTGAAGGCTATGACCAACAAAAGCAAAACCAAACAAAGGTCAAAGGCAGATTCACTGGCCAGAGAGAACTGGCGCACGTTACACCGCGTGTATTGCAACGTTTGGGCATCTGTGACGCTAATACCCCAGACCAGTCAACCTGGATCAATGGGGTAGTGTGTCCCACTAATGAGTGATGGATCCTCTCTTAACGGGGACATTATCCGGTTCATCAACCGGTTGGTTCATCAGGTCCTGGGTCAACACCGACTTGCCTGACCCTACGAATGTGACTTAACTCTTGGGCCTAGCGCTGCCCACAATGATTGCTTTCACTTTGGTTTCCCTTTCAACCAAACAAAGCTACCACCCAAAAGAGGGCAGCTCGCTTTGGGCTTCTTGAGAATAGCTCGTGTTTGGCTTCTCAACCAAACAGTCAAACAAAGCTACCCTCAAAAGGAAACACATGGTGTCCTTTTGGTATAGATGGCCCTTTCCAGGGGTACCTTCCATTTCCAGTCTTTCCAGGGATCCGAATCTTTTCAGGAAACCAAAACCCAGGGGAAGCAGCCGGTTCTTGGAAAAGAACCATGGTTGAAAAGAATGGACAAGGCATCAACCCCTAGACCCCTAGACCGGATGGAAGCAAATCCAGCTCAAGCAGCGCCCAACTTTTGTTGCGCTACTCAAATGGCGAGGAGGGCTCCTGGCTGGGCCAAGCGGTGAACATGGCCGGCGCAGAGCCGCGGCGCGGCTTGAGGCCCCGCTCGCTCAGCAGATCTGCCAGCGCTGGCCCTGCGCATGGTAAGGGGTGTATTCTTGGTTGACGTTGGAAGGGAGCCAAAAAATACATCTTAGCAGTGAAGTGGGACTTCCCACTAAACCACAATCAGCAAACATGCAAAATGTTTCCCAACAACAACCATGTATTGAGGGAGGCTCGTCACCTCCTAACTCCAGATGCAGCTTTTCTGGCCTCCTCTTGGCTTATTCAATTGGCATAGGCATATCCCGCCAATCCCGGCCCTTTAGAGATCCATGAGAGACCCTGGGGAAAGCGCGAGAGAGTTGTCTGCAGGGCTCATCCAAAAGAAGGTCACAGAAGCTGGCGCATTCTCTGTGCTCCAAACTGGGTTCACCACCCAATCCCAAAAGGTGTTTTTTTTCCGGGTGCGCGCTTTTTTTCGAGAAAGTGCCCGTTTTTCAGACTGGCTAAAATGGGAACACCAAATTCAAAATCAGCGTTTGGGGTGTCCGAAGCCAACATTTGCGCACACAACTATGAAGGAAAACCTTCATGGGTAATTTGCGAGCTTGCCTTTCAGTTGTCAGCCTCGAACACCTCACGCCTCTCAATGACTTGACTGGCATGTGCGTTTCATGAATGGGTGTCAAAATATGGGGGGGCCAAACATTGTAACAAATTGATTGCGCTTCTTCTTTTGAGCTTCCCTTCAAGCCAAGCTGAAAAGTGTACCGAGCTTCCAAAGCACACACATATACAAACCCTCCAATAAGTCGAGAGCAAAACATGCCTGGCCTGATGAGAGGGGAGACTTCAATGATGGCGAAGGGGCTGTGAATGGAGATTCGGGAAGCTCCTGCGTGCGGTCGACTGCTTTCAAGTTTTCCTCTATCCCATCGAGCAATGCCCTCCTCATCAGTCACATCGACATTGGCATCAAGGTCGGCCAGGCATACCGGACGCTTCCTCCGCTTGACAAGCTGCAATCACTGGTTTGCAATGCTTGTGCCTATCTTCATTCCCTTCCTATCCGACATCTGAGTTACAAACAAAACCTGGTTTTGAGTTGAAGGATCCACACAACATACAAGAAAGGAATCAAAGAGGCGGCCACGCGTATGATAGGAAATGGTTCTAGCTTCCCTTTCCCAAGGCGTGATTGTGAGACATCTGCGCCCAACAAACCGCCCTGACGGCACATGACCTGAATCTGGCCAATTCGATGCGAGAGCCAAGCGTCTTCACCTGCAGCACCTGGCGTGTCTGCCATGGCCAGCTTCAGCTTCTCAACTTGCCCACTTGCATAACCAGCTTCTGCTTGCATAATTCGTGTATGTTTCTCAAGGCCAGACGTTTTAGGGTCCTTTTCAAGGGAAAGCAAAGGGCCACCATCATGGCACAAGCAGGCTGGCGGGTCATGGATTGAAGATTCTTCGCACAACAAAGTGTTTGCCCCAGCTGCCCAGTAACCTGTGCTGTCAAAGAGTTGACCATTCCCGGGGCATGTTTGCAATTCTTTGCGTGGGGACCCACCAAACAAAAGTGGCTCAAAAACCGGTGCCAAAATGGAACCCTGGCAACCAAAACCTGCGTAACCCCTCCGGTTTAATTTTGAGCCACACCCAAGTGCTCCAAAAAGAAAACCCATGAACTCCCCACTGAAAAAAAAAAAGAGCCCACGGTCACGGCCATGTTTCGGCCGCGCCTCCAATGCCCAGCCGGGAAGCTCCGGGAGCTCACCTTGAAGCCGAAGGCTCCGCAGCTTCGAAGCCTGCGGGGCAAAGCAGTCCCTAAGCCGTGGGTCGGAAGCCCAGGGCGGAGACGCCGAAAGCGGGCACAACGGCTTGGAACCAGTTCTTTTGGGGTTGCTCCCATTTTTCGAGTGGTGCCTTTTTTGAGAAGATGCCTACCAGAAAAAGAATGCGTTTGTTTTTGTGGGGCAAGATCCCTTTTCGGATACTAAGCGGATACCAACAGGAAAAACGGCTACCCACCCTCCTCTCCCCCGAATTTTCAGCAACCGGATGGCTGTCCCATCCGCGCCATTTTCCGTGAGACGGCTGTGGGTCAAAAACATGTACCCAAAATCGAACCCTGGTCAATGCACACATGGCCTAAACCTGCGGTCCATTGGTTTAATTTCGACCCACACCCACCTCAGGTTCGGACTTCGGGATGATCTTTGAAAAAGTCCGCCGGAGCATTTCTCTCAGGGTCTCAAAACCGCGGGGGTTACTTTTGACCCATACCCATATGGGGGTTGCTCTGATATGGCTCATCCGCGCCATTTTCAGACGTGTCGGTCGTCGGTCGTGGGTCGTGGAGTCGTCCAGTCGTCGCCTGCTTCTGCATCTGGTCCTCGCTCCGTCGCAGCTCCTGGGCGGCCTCAGCCCAGGCCACGGCGCAGCTGCGGAGGCACCGCGCCAGCAGCCTGCGGAGGGGCGCTCCGCAGGCAGACATCGCGGCTCGAGAAACCGAGCTTTGGGTAATAAAAATTGCTTAGTTGGCAAGTTGTTGTTTTTTTTTTTGAGGGGGGGGGGGGGGGCTGGAGTCTCCATGACCCTGAAAAAATGGGGTCATTACCCAAAACTCAGGGCTCATGGACCCATTGTTTAAGGGTCATGGAGACTCGAGTTCAAGCCAAAGGGCAGCCATGGCCATGTTTGGGGGGATCACCGCGTTTTGCCCGTTGACCAACCAACAGGCATGTGTATTGAAGTTAGCTGCCTTTTTTTCAAGCTGGTTTGAAGGGAGTCCTCTCCAATTTCCACACACGCACATGATCGCACATGATTCATCACCAAGTTCACATTGTTCAAACTTAAGGTGTATACCCTCCCACCGACTAACATGGAAGTGCACAGACCGTAGAAAGACTTGTTTGTTGCTTTCCTCGAAAGCGGGTTGGTGCACTTCCATGTTGGGAGAGTAAGTACTTTGGATTTTGTTGTGCCTTGAACCTGGCTGTCGCCCAAACGAACCCAGGCGGGAAGAGGTGGGAAGAGGTGGGAGGAGGTGGGACGAGGTGGGGGGAGGTGGGGGGAGGTGGGGGGAGGTTGGGGGGAGGTTGGGGGGAGGTTGGGGGGAGGTGGGGGGAGGGATTCAACCGGAACCTCGCCGCTTAGGCGCTTCGCCGAGCTCGCCTGCCGCGCACGAAGTCCATGCAGGAGAGGAGGAGGCTCGCGTCTTTGGAGGCCTTCTCCCGCAGCACCCGGGCCTCGTTGGCCTCCTCCGTGCCTCGACGCGTTCAATGGGCGAGAGGGGCGAGAGGGTGCGGCTCAACGGGTAGTGGCTTGGTTCAAGGGTGTCACCTACATACTTATGGGAATGTGTACAATGGGAAGGCGGTTTGATTCAGGTTGTCACATGTCCCACATACTTATGGGAATCACTTGACCTACATACTTATGGACATTTACAACGGGAAGTAGGCTATCACCATGGTGATCAACCACTTATGTGCACTAAGATCGGGGCGCACCGCCAGTTCCTCGATGGAGGCAGTTTGAGCTGACGCTGCCTGCAGCCAAAACATGCTTTTAGGTGTGGCGAAGCAGCGCATTCCAAACCCAACAGCATCAGACGCCTACCTCGCCTCCTTACAAAAATATCGTGAACAAAGATCCCAAATCTCGGTTGCTTTCTGCTCCCCTGCTAAAAGTTTAAGTTTTGGTAGTTTAATGGAAAACCCATTTTGTTGGCAAAAGTTAAAGTCCTAACATCCAAGCAAAATGCACCAAAGCAATGCATGCGTAAGCCCATGGCTCATGGCAGAGTTTCTGTGCGAGCTCCATCCTCGCCTTTTGCACTTTGTGCTCCGCGGCGGCAATCTCCTTCTCCCCATCGCTCCGAGTGAACCGGGCGAGGCCCTTCTTCTTCTCCCCGGCCTTTCTCTCCGTCTTCTCCTGCAAAAGCGTGCAGGAGCAAAAGTCGGCATGCGCCGCTTCGCGCAAGCAGCTTCGCGGCTTCGCGCGCCGGTTTTATCTGACCCGGCCCTGTTGGGCACCCGATCAAGAGGTCGACCTTTTGAGCGCTTGAAGTGACTTTAACTGGGCCAAATAGAAGCAAAAAAGCGGTCAATCATTCGATTCGGTTTACAGGATCGAATATCCATGTGTGATGTCTTTCTACAACTTGAAGTTACGTGTTCCTTTTTTGCGGAAGGATCCCCAACAAACCCATCCCCGGCTTCAGCCACTTTCATATTCTTGCGGTCCCACACCTGCCCAAACCGGGCAGTCCAAAGTCATATGTCAACTCATCGCCGTCAGATCCTTTGAGCCTTCCTATCTCCTGCCCATAGGTGACCTTTTAGGGCGAATAGATGGCCCTGGTAGATAATTAAACCAGCAGGTAAACCAGGGCCATCTATTTTTCCCACCAACACCACCAAAAAGGACACCTATGGTCCTGCCACCTATGCTAGGTCTCGCCCTCTGCAACAAGTTTTTGGTGGAGAGCTTCTAGGTCAGCGGCGCAACCGTGTCGACCAGCGTCGTTGAAACTCTGAAAAGATTCCGAGCATTCTGGTTGCAGCGAATCAAATTCCCGCTTGCTTTTGGAATTTCATCAGGACAAGTTAGGGAATATCCACAGTGGAACGAGGTGTGCCTCCCAGGAACACGTTCTGGCACCTCACCGTGGTTCGCCGGGGCAGACCCCCCCCCTTCCTCGGGCCTGGTCACGCATCGCGGTCTGCAGGCCCATTCGTGCGCGGTCGCGCTTCCTGAAGAACTTTGGCTAACATGTTGGGTGTGCTTTGCTTGAGAGCGCGCACCGCCATGTTTCAACTGGTGTTTGTTTTACCTTGTTCCGGACGTACGGCTAGTAATTGTGCGTGCTGGCAACTCACGCTAAAAGTGTGCAACCAACACCTCATACTACCTCGGCCACTTCCATCTTTGTTGCTTTTCGTTGAGCAAAAAAGGGCTAGACACAATTCCTGGCTTCTCTTTCCCACATTCAACAGGGCACCGAATCTCATGGAATCTGAACCCCCCCGAGAGAAGCAAACCGATGCTGACACAGACTTCGTTCCACCATGACCCCGATTGGAGGCCTCTGGAGGACAGTTTCCCTTCTGGAGGGACCTCCTGCTGGTATCCAGAAAGAGGGGACACTACAAAGGCCCTGGAAAAATGGCACTGTTGTCCCCCCACCAAAAGAAAAAACATGCGGATAAAAATGGACCTGCTGGAAGTCTGGATCCGGTACAGCATAACCGACCTCTCAGCTGGGTGCGCCTTTCAACATGCAACTCAGAACGCCGTCATCTTTAGAGGAACCTCCTTTTGGGGAACCCCCTTTTTTGGGTTGCATGGGAGCATCTGCAGGGGAGTGAGGACCCTTGTTTCAAGTCTGTTACTCAGAAGCCCAGTGGCCAGTGGACAAAAATATGGCCACTGTTGTTTGTGGCTGGTTTGAACTGAGAACCCTGCCCCCCCCAACAACAAAAAAAAGAAGCCAAACCACCACCCCCCCCCCAAACAAAAAAAAAAACAAGACAAAAAGAAACACAAAAACAATAGCTCAACAAAAACAAATCAACAAAAAACAACATGGCAAAACCAGCATATGCCAGGCAAGGCCCCACATTTTTCAGGTGAGCCTCTGCAAGCTCTCCGTGATCGCGTTGGAGCAGCTCAGCTCTTTGAGCCGCAGCTCCTCCAGCCTGTCCGCCTTCCTGGCGCGGCTCAGCGGCTCAGCGGCTCAGCTCTCTCTGCGCCCCGTTTGGGCTCGGACCCAGGAGCCATGTACGTCAATGTACGGCAACACCTGGGTTATAACATACTCACTTGCCCCTTTAGGGACCAGAAAAAAAAAAAAAAAAAAACGTTTGGGGACCACATGGAGTCTCCATGACCCGAATCAAAAATGGGTCCATGAGTCCTGAATTTTGGGTAATGACCACATTTGTTAAGGGCCATGGAGACTCCAGGCAGACATAACAGTCACTTTTGGGCCACCACGAAAATAATTAAGGGGCGAGCCGCCAAGGAAAAAAGTGTAAAGTGCGCCCACTGGCTGGGTGGGAAAAGGTTAAAGTTCATGAACTCAGAAAGTGAGTGAAAAATGGTGATCACCTGTTGGGTTGCCAGGACGAAAATTTGGACTCAAATTGCCAAAAAACAAAAATCAAAAGGTCAGTTGGGGCAGTGGACAGGTTCTGTGTCTTTGGTTCCTGTTGACCCCTCTGCAAAAAGAGTAACTTTTTGTGGGTCCCATGCAAAATCGGATCTGATTCACGAAAGGTTAAAGTGTGAAGATCCGTTTCCAAATAGCCATAAGGGTTGTTGGCAGCGACAAGTGTTGACACGGATGTTGTGCATCAAAAAGCATGATGGTCCATGCAGTTTGCGCGAATCACAGATTGACTTTCCAACCATGTTGTCAGCGTGGAATTTCAACAAGCACTCTGCACCAGTTGGATGGATGAAACGCTGTGAATACTGGCATAGCCCACCTACCAACTGGTGTAGGATTTTGCTCATCCACAGTATCTCGCCTAGCGACAAGGGTGAAGCCGAATTCCTAAAGGCCCCCTCAAGAAAAGGCCCAAGGGAGGTCACTTAAGAAACCAGTTCACATCCTTTGAGGGGTGCTGGTCTAAATCCTGACATCACACATTTTAACGAACAAACAAATTCTACAGCCCAAAGCAGGGCATCAGCCCTTCAAGATTGCACAAAAAAAACTCGAACTGGTGCATGGTGTAGGAAACAGGTTGAGGAAGGAACGGCATTGGCATTGGAATCCGTTTCACACATGATAGGGTTCACTGCCTAGATCGGCTTTCAAAGTGGAGAGCCAGCTAAGAACGGCTCCCCATCTGAAATTGTATTGAAGTAAGTCAAAGGGTCACAATGTCTTCCTACTCAGCACCAGCTGGAAGGACAGGCAAGCTGATACGCACCCTTGATACGCACCCCGCCAGGGCATGCCTAAAGCCCCTGCCTGTTGTGGTCTGCACCTGCATGGCGCTGGAAGGTCTCCTGAGTGACGGGAGCGGCAACACTTGGTCTGCTGGAATCTTCTGTTCAGAAACAAGGTCCTCCAGTTTTGCGAGGTTAGAAGAAGGGTACCGGATGATTTTTCTGTAGTCTATTTCGGCAGGGGAAGCCTCCCTGCAAAAGAGGTAAAAGGGCTACTGGGTGACCTAGGAAAGTGCACCCAGCTCTCAATTCCCAAGAAGTCCGCTGAGACTAGGGCGAAGACCGAAAATACACTGGAGCGGCTGCAGGGTCGCAGCGCCGATCTGAACCAAAGGTTGGTGGTCAAACCTGACTTGCAAAAGAGACGTAATCATGCCCATGCAACATATTCCATCCTTTAACAATGAAACAAACTTCTGCGAGCCAGCCAAACCAAGGTCAGGGCGTGTATATGCTCCTCTCAGAAAAGGGGCAAGCGAGTCTGCTCGTACCCTTTCGAGTCTTCTGGCTTTGATGCCCCGGGCATTCGCCAGCCCTCGCAACAACCAAACCTTATCCGACTCGGGACCCGGTCCTAACAGAAGACACCTGGGGAAACAACTCCCCAATCCTCCAGCGGCCATGGGGAAAAAGGGCAACCTCTTTTCGAGCTTGAGTTGTTAAAAGGAAGCCCCTCTCCAAAAGAAATGACAAATAAGAACCCCCCCCCGAGTTGTCTAGAAAGGGCTGCTCGCCCTTCAAGCGGCCCTCAACTTGAACCCAACCTTCAGGTTGCCTGAAGCTAACCCGAAAACCACCCCAACCCAACCCAACCCAACCCATTGCAGCCCGTGCACCATGGGCTGCATGATGTTTTGGCTAATGGCCGACGCCATGCCGATAAGCATTGCCCCCAGCCCGCCGCACGCGTCCTGCGGATCGATGACCGAGGTGAGCTAAAAAGGCCCTCCCTTCAAACAGGGAAGTGAGCAAATATCCTTAAGACTACTTTCCTTTCAGAAAGGGGCCCTAGTGCACTGGTGCGCTTCCACGTTTGCTGGGAGGGTAGAAGCTTGATTCGGGCTATGTGTGATGAGGCTTGAAACCTAGCCAAGCCTGAAACCAACAGCCACACACCCGCACACCCACACACCCACACACCCACACAGCCACACAGCCACACAGCCACACAGCCACACACAGACTTTGAGCACACAAGCGTCAAGCGAGTCCAGAAACGACTGCGCAGCGGCCGCGACAGCATCTTCTTCTTGCTTTAGGCACCCTGCTGGAGCCGCCTCAGCGGCCGCTATGCATGCTCACATGTGAGTGCAATTTATGGGGGCCAGCCCTTTCCAGGTTGGCTTGGCGGAACCCACAGAAAAACCACCATCTTGGAGGGCCTACTTTGACACAAACCCACATGAAGTTTGCATTTTGAGGGACTGCCTGGACTCTGTGTTTTGCACAGTGTACCCGCAAGGGTATCCCAAGTTGCTTGCTTTTCTACCACGTGGGCATGGCCAACTAAACGCCCAGCCTTCAAATGCTTTCAGTAGGAAAATGATGTCCAAGTAAACGCGGAGCTGCTCAAACTCGCCATGCTAAACTCAGCACTCCAAATGGTTCATGTGGCAACTTTTCAGCATCCGACTCGCGCGGAACGCAGCCAAGTCAGCCGCCCCTTTTTGTGCCAAATGGAGCCCAGTGGAAGTCCATTCGCCGACCTGCGTCTCAAGGCTTGGACTTGCTTAAGGGTTTTCGATAGGCAAACCAACCAAAAACTGAGCATCTGTGGGGAATCCCTAGCTTTTGACGCACCCAACCCCCTTGAAGCCACGGAGCAGTCTTCTGGCATGAGCATCGCTGCAGCCTGGAGCCTGAGTGAGTCATGCTGAAACGCAGCCATCATGGGTGAGGTTTGGAACCCGTTTGTGAGGTCACCATGATTTAAGAGTTCTGTTTCAGGCAAATTAGGCAACCCACATCTAAAAACATCATCGTTTATTCTGAAGAAGCTATTCAAAGCAAGCGAGAGTGATGCTCCAAATTGCCGAGATGCATCTGCACATTGCTTTTTGTTGCGAAGGCTAGCACCTCCCTTCAATGAAACCGCGGGTTGGAAGGCGTCTAAAGGAAAAACCGTGAAAGCCTCTCGTCCGAAGAAACATCTGTTTACTTGGTTGCTTTCTGCTCCCCTGCTAAAAGTTTGACTTTCAGTGGTTTAATGGAAAACCCATTATATAGTTGGCAAAAAGTGAAAGTCCTAACATCCCTTGGCAAAATGCACCAAAGTTTGCTTTTTTGCGTTCAGCGTTTGCTCTTCACAAAGGCCCGACTTTAGATTTGGCTCGATAAGGGAGGCTGCCTCAGCGGCCCAAGCTGATGCTGTCGCTTTGGATCGTTTCTGACTTTGATGTGTCAAGGTACAGGCTGGGCAAGCTTTTGCGCTAAACTCACTTGAAGCAAGAACGGACAAAGTTGACCCCGGACTAGTAAACCCCTCCCATGGTTAGGGGGGTCTTTCATCCAAAACTGATTCGAATCCCCACTAAACGGGGACACGCCCCATTCATCAACCAGGGGTTTGTCAATATGGGGTCAACATTGCCCACCCTTCACCCACTGAAAGTCCCGGACGAGTCAGCTCTTCGGACCGACGCCCAGGTTCCCAGGAGCTCCACCTAGGCGTCCTTGCAGAAAACTGGTCTGCACTGGTCAACAAAACAAATGCAAGGAATCTATTATTCTTATGGTTCCACCCCCCCCCACCACCCCCACCCCCCACCCCCACCACCCCACCCCCAGCCTCCCGCCGTTCCGTTTCCCCTCCCGGCTCCGGCCATCGCCCGAGCCCGGCGCCGGCGTCCGCGAGGATGGCCACCACCTGGCTGGCGGCCTCCGCGGTGACGCGGCACGCGGCCAGGCGCTGCAGGGAGCGGTCCATCTCCAGGTCCAACACCTCCCCAGTCATAATCGAAACCTGGTATGAAAATGGTCTAGCCAGAACCATGCAAAGAAGTAAGAAGGCGGATATCCGCAGCTATTGGTTGGGGTTGTCCCTTACTAACCTTCATCTACCCGGGTTTTGATTGTCACTCCCGTGACGTTTGGTGGTCCCATGGGTGATCCCACGGGTTGCAGGCGGTTTCCCACAGATTTCCCACTGGGGGAAACCCAATGGAAACCCCGCGGAGGTCCAAGTTTTCTTGGGATTCAACTGCGAGTTGAACTCCCACTTTCCCATGGTTTTGCATGGGAGGGGGGGCCAGGGCCCGATGTGCAGCTTTTTCCACGTGGCTTCCGCGCATAGAGGTAACAAAAGGGAAACTTTCATGCGACATCTGGGAAGGAAAGCCTTTGGTAAAATCTCGAGGCAAGAAATACTTGGTGACCCATTCTGGTGGCAACTGGAAGGCACCGGGGCTAGGCTTGAGCTTAGTGTGCCCGTTCCTTGGGGTCCAGGTGAAACATGGCGCGTCCTTGGAGCAGAATGAGAGTGCCAGCTACTTTCACCCTAGTAGGCCTTAACCATATGGCGCAACCAACCCAGGGCTTCACATGTTTCCACCCAGGGCCTAAAAGTGTAATGGGATACACTCCGGAAAGGCCTTGTAGCGGCCGTCTTTCTCTCCACAGGATTTGACCCAACTCTGGGAGTCACGCCCCTACAAGTTGCTATAGACGGCTCCCCGAAAGTTGGCCCTTCCCTTTTCACAAGAAACGGTTCTTGCAAGCGCACAGGGAGATCAGCCACCCAGAAAAAATCGGCGGCCGTAAATGGCACACGTGCGGTCCTTGTTGTGTCTCCCCAACTTTGGGTCCCCAAAGGATCTACCAGAGCCATAAAAACCCGTCTGTGTGAACCAACGGCCAGCACCGCCTGTCTCACAATCTTTTGGAAAGAACCGCCCCATGGGGCCCAACTACAGTCCTGTAAGCCCGCAACTGTTCGGATTCGGGCGGGTCCCCTTTTTTTGGGATGATCCAATTTCGAGCTCGCAAGCTGAAAGCCGCGGAAGTTCAAAACCCCTTTGTTGGTGGCCAAGTTGCATTCCTTCCCCAACTACTCACAAACTCTGCCCAGTGCAAGAATGAGCCGAGTGTCATGACTGAGCCCAACATTGAACATATCAACAGCCCGTCGCACCCCGGCGGTTCTTTTTTGAAGTGTCAAGTCATGCTTCAGGCTTCAGGGCCTTTCAAAGTCGGCCGAGGTTTCGTGAGGGCTTGCTCTGCTCCGAAATGGGCTGGGTTTAGGTCTCGTTGCGTGGCTTAGGGTCGGTGAACGGCCACTGTTCCGTGCAGGCAAATCAGCTAGGCGAGTCTTCTAGGTTTGCCTTTTTGGTGGCGGTGGGGGGGGGGACTAATGCAACAGGCTTGCCTTTTCCCGGGCGGAGAAGTTCAGTAAACCGGCAGCACCCAACAAAGGGCCTAACACTGGGCAGTTCAGAATGGAGTGCTGGCCAATCCTAATCCAACATCCTTGTTTCGAAACTGCAATAGAGGGGGATCCATGTTGCAATGCTAGATTAAACATTGCTTTTGAACAGGCCAGAATCGTAGTATTGTCGGTTGCTCGCTGCTGGCCATGGCTGGTAGCTCGCACCTCCGCCCGATCCGCGGAAACCCGCGCCTTGCTATCCAAGCGACTCCGCCCGGGGGAAGATGCCGATGCCTTGGTGACGGACCCGGCTTTAGCTTTCGATGTGGCCCATGTGTTGTAAGATGTTGTAAGATTCGGTGAAACAACGAACCCTCCCCAAGTAACGAAGCTTCTTGGGTGAGCACATATTATTCAATGTGCCAAGTTTTTATAATATGTCCCCCTCCATGATGGTCTTTCTTACCCTCTGCCTTCAATCATGGAATTATATCGACTGCCATCCTTTTGCAAAGTCCCCTCTCCACTTCTACGATTCTTGGAAACGTGGCAAATGGGCAACAAGGGGGTTCACCCATAGCCCTCTGCTGCAAAGAGGATTTAACATCCAGACAGCTCTGCCCTGTCGCGTTTGGCCAAAGCGCTCGTGGCAAAAAGCTGGCAGGGTATTCATATTCTCCGCCTGGCGCTCACATTTCCCAAAGAGGTGGCGACCGTGCACAAACAACCAAATGCGAATAACTTGCTGATGCTCACTTGGGAACGACCCATGTGTTTTCGAATGAACCTACGGTGGATGGAAGAAATCTTGTATGACTGTTGTACAGATCACCTCCATCTTGTTATAACTTACCCCGCCCCTAATTAACATTGGTGCTCAGTTTGGCCAAGTTGGGGTGGGTCATGCAAGATTTAGGTCATTGGCAACCTACAAGCACTTTTGCCCGTCACAGCTCAATGTTAAGTAGGGGGCGCGGGGTGGTGGTAAACACGTAGTCTTAGAAAACTCATGCAATATTTCTTCCATCAACAGTAGGGCGGGATCATTCCCTCGTTCTCTGCTGAGAGCCAGCAAGATAAGGAACCTCCTAAGGACTCGTCATTGGCGACCTGGCTTGGCAGGTTATTTCTGCAGAAACATTGGCTGTCGCTGTTCAGAGTTGCGCCCAAGAAATAACATGGCAAACCCGTGCCAGTCTGAGAGGGAAACAACTCAGCTGAGTGGTCAAGATACCGGCAAGCCAGCGACGGCTTTTGTGCTGTTTTCCACCCAATCATGCATAGCAAAACTCAATGTCACCAAATCATCCAGCGTCCAAGACGGGAAACAATAAACAATTTCGCCATAAAGCCCCAATGAAGCAAGATTCTGGGTGGAGGATCCAACAATTAGTTTTTTCCCAGCAGCTCAAAGCTATGGGTGGGTTCCTTGCCCGAGTCCGGAAGGTTTTGGACTTTTGGAAGCCGGGGGTTCCGCAGTTGCAGAACAAATGCAGAAGGTGCTTGAGGTTCATATGAATCGGGTTCCGGATTCCAGAAGGTTGGGGGGGGGTTCTTTGGGGCGCTGGCTGGATAGGGTTCCGGAGGAATCCAGAAGGTTCTGGAGGTTTGATATGGATAGGGGTCCGGCTGGATAGGGCTTCTGGGGGTTTCCATTGCATGGTCCCAGGGTCTGTTGGGCATGCTGCAAGGGCTTATTCTCAGTCCCAACTAACGTTTAGGCAAGTCCTGGTCAGCCCCCTCCCGCAATTCAACGGCAGACCCAGAGCTTCCAACCCACCTGACTCTGTCAGGGTCTCGGCGGTCATCATGGCGCTTCAGCTTCAGATCTGGCCCTAAGCAGCTGACAGGTTCTCTTCGATTCTTGTCCAATAGTTTTAAGTTTTAATGATTTTGGTCCATATTGAGAGAACTAAGATATGTAAGATAATGCTAAATTAGATCCCAGGAAGTTATCTGCAAACATGAGATGCGCCAAGCAGAGGCGTTGAAGGCTCTGCTTACCTGCGTGCTGAACTTGAAGTGTGGATCTGGGCCATGACGCTGCCATGCTTTCATGTATTCTATCTCAGTCCTCCAGTTTGTGAGCCATAACCCGTCATACGCTGGCTCGGCCAAACGAGGCAAAAGCAGTCAACTATTGGGACCACACAATGGGCAGTAGGCAGTCCAAATGCAAGCTCGGCATTTGCATCCAGCGTTTATGTTCAAATCGGTGTCACTCGCTGATCTCGAAATGAGGAATCCCCGCGTAGGGACTGGCCAAGATCATTTTACCTAGGTGAGCTTGCCACAACTCGCGCAAATCACATGGCTGTGCTGTGCATCCAGTTTTCTCTAACGCGTTCAGCGCGCTGGCTGAAGTCTGAATGTATGCGAGATCCCGCCGTCAAAGTCCGGCGCAACTCCCATCCAAAACCCACTGCCTTTCCAAGCACGCTCTGCTCGCAGGGAGACACCCAAAAACTCCACGTAGACATTCTGTGCCAACACACTGGGCCAGTTTAGATGAACACATTTTCCACACGCGTACTGTACCTGGAGTATCTGGGAATACTGAAATGCAGCGGAACCGGCATTCAAAACAAAAGGCACAAGCAAAAAGAGCCACGTGCGAAGGCCGCCTTCACAGGCATAAGGCCCAAATTTCACGTCGCCTCAGCTCAGCATGTCTGAGCTGTCACCTTCCACAACCAGGCTGATCTCAGCCTCTGCCTGAACGAGTATCGGCAACATTTTACAACAAGCTCAAATGTGAAATCAAGGGATCCTCAAAGTTGCGGCCCTTCATCATGCCAAGCTGGATTCATGTGGCTACTCGCCCAATGGCTGCGGGGGAAAGAAAAAGAGACCAGGCTAGTTCTGGCTTGTTAAAATCAAGTAAACAAACAAAACATAAAACAACATGGTGAGCAAGACACCACCGCGCAACCATCCTCAAAGGGTATGTTTCGGGAGCAGTTGCAAGGATACGGGTAGCAAACGTGAAGGTCAAACACCTTCTTGAACCAAGGGCTGCGTGCTTACAACTGGAGCTAGGCTGGCGCAATTATTTACCCGGCCTCTCCGAGCCACGTTTAAAAGCATCAGTCTCTCACTTTAACGTAACAAATTGTTTGGTCGCTTCACTGGCCCACACAAGGTCTTTGAACATTGTCAGGGCGTAAATGCTTAGAACGGGCTCGCGGGGCTTCAAATGAAACTCCGCGAGCATTGGCTCGACATCGTTTGGCACCGATGCGGAGTGCTGCCTCCACCTCGTTGTCCAGAATCTCCTGCACGTTTCCCGTGGAACCGACCGCCCACATGTGGCCGGCTTGCCCTGGAGTGATGTGGAGCGCCACTTGTTCAAAGCGGCCAGCGCTTGTGCACTTGTGTCTTCTGGCAGAATGGGTATGGAGCTCCAGTTCTGCAGTGTCTCTTGGCCGGGAGAGGCTATGCAGGTTGACAGCAGCCCAAGAACTCAAGCCAAAGCGACTCAACCCTGGGCGCTTGCTCGAAAGGGCCCACTCTGTTAGGTGTCATGTGTCCGTGTCGGTGCCTGTGTCGTCTGTGTCGTCTGCGTGTCTCTATGTGTCTTCTGCGTGTCTCTATGTGTCTGTGTGTCTGTGTGTCTGTGTGTCTGTGTGTCTCTGTGTCTGTCTCTCTGTGTCTGTGTGTGCAAGAGCGGTATTGTAGGAGGCAAAGCTCATGTAAGTCGCGAAAGCATGCAGCAAACGCACGCAGGAAATTAGCCTCCCTGGGTCCTCCGTCTCCGGGTTATTTCTCTGTTTTTTTTTCCGTTCTCCGGGATATTTCCAGGAGACCCTCTGAAAACTAGGAGTTTCAGGTGTTTCAATTGCAGGAATCAAAAAGCAGGAGTGGCTTGCAAAAGGCAGGAGTGAACATCAAAAACTAGGAGTGGTTCTTGGGGGAAACAATTGGATTCAAGTTTTGTTGTCTTTTTTCGTTGTTTGGGCGCGCAATTGTGCAACTCTGTACACTATCCCAGCAATTATGCAACTCTGCACTGGAGTGGGTATTCCACTGATTTTACTACGCACACTCCGGAAACTCCGTCTTTTTTTGATTTGCGGGAGTTTGCGGGTTTTTGCGGGAGTTTGCGAGCTTTTTGCGGGTGTTGTGCGCTGAGTTTCAGGTGTGGTGCTTTCCGGTTTTGCCAATTTGTAGCCAAAGGCAATAATTCCGAATTCAGAATAATTCTGAATTCTGAATCAATAATTCTGATTCAGGTGAACGATTCTGATTCAGGTGAATGATTCTGATTCAGAATATGTCTGAATTGGAGAGTTCCTTCCGTCAAGTACCGAATAATTGCGATTTCTAGGAGGTTTCAGGTGTGCAAACCATTTCCAGAAGCGACAATCAATTTCTAGGAGTTTTACCTCAAAAACCAGGAGTTTGAAAACTCCGTGTTTTTTCACTGAGACCCTCAAAAAACTGGTAGCCTCCGGTTTTTACGTGAAAGATCCAGGTCAGGTCTTCCAGCCTTATTGGCCGATCGTTGAAGAAAAGGGAGAGCCCTCCCAAGGTTGAAGGGGAACCACCAGCCACAAACTCGAACTTTGATAACGCCCAGCCAAAAGAGCTGGCTGAGCAAAACGGCTTGGGCTTCAAAAAGGGTAGAGATGTAATTCAAGAGTGCTCGTGCTTGCTCAGAGAAACAAAGGTTAGAAGATTGTTCTTCCCCCCCGTGGGCGCTGAAGCGGGTATTTTGTGGCATTCTGAGCGAATCGGCTGGAAATCGGGGGAACTGTGGGGAAATGCTGGTTCCATTGTGTTTGGGTCCAAGGCTGAATTGGTACCCCAAAGCTGATCTAGGGTGGCTTAATGCCTTGATGTTGGCATGGTAGTTTAGGCTGAGTTTCGGGTGACTTTAGGGTTGGGTGTAGGGAGCCAACCAACCGACCGACCCCAACCGTGCCCAGTGAATCCCCATCATCCTGAAAAGCATGGGCCCTGCAAACACCAAACGCCACCTAGGGCCGGGCCACATGGGCCACATGGGCCAACATCATGGCTGTGGCTGCAATGCGTTCACCCTCTGAGGCGGGTCTAAGGTAGGGTCAAAAGGGGTCTAAGTGCATCCTTAGAAGGTACCAGGGGACCCTGTGGGTGCTGGGCCACATGGTGGGACAACATGGCTCGGTCCTTGACCCTCCCGAAGATCTGCTCAGCCTCTTCTCGAGTCCGGCCCACGCACACCAAGCCGCACTTCCCCAGCTCCGAGAGAAGAGTCACCAAGTGGAAGATGGCGCCTACCGGAAGACTGGCTCCATCCTTGGGCTTCCTATTGGGAAAATTCTGATCTGTTTCGCCATTTCCCTTTAAACAGCACTTGGAGGAAAATGTTGTATGGATATAACCCAGGGGGATCAGATCAAATTTCATCCGCCCCAAATTGTCCTTGGCTTGCCCCGCCAAGGAGAAAACTCAGGGTCCGACACAACCCCTTGGATCCTATAGGCTTTGTGACCCCTCGGCCCCAAAAATGGGATCGATCCTTTCAAGCTTGCTGCCTGGCCGATTCCAGCAGAATGCTGGGTACCCTAGGTGCTCCAGCAGAGAGGTTAGAATAAAGGTACTTTTTTGGTGGTCAACTTTAGTAGGGGAACCCTCCCCCCAAAAAGGGTACAAGGGCACTACTGGGGGACTTAGTACCCCATCTCGGGTTCCGGCCTGTCTCAGGCGCTTCGGGTCGGCAGTTCCACTCGATTTCCGCCGAATGTCCTCGAAGAGTAAGTGACCCGTGCCAAGGATGCCCCCCATTTCCCCCGCGTTGCCATGAACCCCAGAAGGTCCCTGCGAGAGGAGAGAACAAATTCTTCCGGCCTTCCCTCCTGAAGCTCCATTTCTTCATTCCGTAAGCTTCAAATCACAACACAGCGATTGGATCATCACTAACATACACCTTGAAGACCTGGCGCATATACAAAATGAGGCATCAGCGCTTCATGCATCAAGAGGTCTCTTGATGATGTCCAGCAAGTCTTCGATAACCAGGCCTTTGTAGCATGGTTTTCCTTGGAGCAGCGATACAGCGCGATCCGTCGAGGCAAGCCAATGGGCTTGTCTCAACATGCGGGACCCCCCGCGAGTAGCAGCAAAACGGCTATCCACCAATGCCCCTAAAAAGGAGCGTTGGAACGCAGATCTCCCCTGCCAAGCTTCGCAGGGTGTCCGAGGCAATGTAGTACCTGCGCTCGCGTCCCCCCCCCCCAAAAAAAAAAAAACACGAGACGAACGCGCAACAGACGCCCAGCCTTGGCTTCCCATCGCTGGCGATGAATTCGGAAGTACGGTCGTTCAGCGCGCCAGACTCGCAAAGGAGATTCCTGAGCGACGTGGTGTGCTTGCTTGCGAGGGTGGTACAAGCAAAGTGCAGCTCGCTTGTACCCGACCCAGTGGGTCGATTCCACTTCCCACCCGGTTCCCTTCGCTACCCTGCTATACAGGTAAGTGGATCCACTGGGCTCAGGCCAGGTTCAACGTCATGATGGGCAACGTGGTGCCACCCATTCTCACGTTGATCTCAATAGCCCAATGCCTTAGACCCGCAGGTTTCTCGCGAATGTGGCCCCCAGTGGCTTGTAATTCTGCAAGAATCTCAACCTGGTGGTATGCACACACACACACACACACTCCAAGCACTTGATGCCTGCGCTACGGTAGGCCGCTGGCTTAAACCAAAAACAACGTAAACAATCTCCTTGGGGTCAGGGTCTGGTTGTCTGACCAAGTTTTGCCCAACCCTGGCTGCAAGCAAATGCCAATCGGCGAAACACTCTCCCAGCACCCTGATAGCCCCGAAGCCTTCAAAGCAAGCCTTTTGCACATGCAGGAAGAGTT